ATATAGCGAATTTTCGTATTCTAAAGGTATTCCATTCAACAAAAGTCAACGCAAATTTCATGAAATATAATCTACACCCGGACCTGGATAATATGAATAATAATTAAATTTTGTATTAACTAATGGAAAATAATCATAAAATAATGGAGGATATACATTCTCTAAATCCGAAAAAGTTCCTTTATATTAAAAAAAATAATATTAAAACGACCATTTATATTATCCAAGCATGCATTATGTTTCTAAAAGTAGATAAAATTTATATAGAAAATGAGAAGAAATTATATATTATTTTTATTTATACAGATGAAATTAATGGGTAGCTAAAGATTTTAAAAAAAGTTACAGGAAAAACTAAAGTATTAATGCTTTGGACATCTGAATTTTTTTTTTAAAAAAATATAAAACTATTAAACTTTTTAGTATATTATTTTTTATTTTTTCTGTAATTTTTATTAAAAAACACAATCTAAAAAAAGCCATAATCCATTTTTTCTTATATTTTTTATTTGTCTTTTAAATATTATTTAAAATTATATTTAATGTATTTATTTTTTTATTTAATTGTTAAAAAATTATGGTCTTTAAAATTAAATATTAAACATAGTAGATAGTAAAGATTTATTATTAGTCTATTAAATTTTATAGATATATAATATATTTATAGATGTCGAAAATTACATAAAAAATGTCTATATTCGAATTAGAGTATAATTTAAGTGCTTTTATTTGAAAGACTTGGAATTTTTTTCAAATTTCAAAATCTTCTTAAATTACTTTAAACAAAAAAAATAATTGAAAATTATTTTTTATTAAAAAAAAAAATTCAATTTAAATATTTTTTTTATAAGAAAATAATAATTTAAATTTTATTTATAAATAAAATATCAAATTATTATAAAATATTTTGCATTTATTCATATTAATAAATAATAATTAAATTAATCATATATTATATTCCTATATAATTATATTGATTTTTTTTATATAAATAAATAAATAAATAAATAAATAAATAAATAAATAAATAAATAAATAAATAAATAAATAAATAAACTTATATATATTTTTTTTTATTTTTACTTAATATCTTATAATATTTTTTTTTATTTTTTATTTATATTTTTATAATTTTTGATATTTCATTATTTAATTATATATTTAAATTAATTAATTTTAATTTTATTAACTTACTATATTATAAATTTTTAATCTTTACCTATACTTTTTTCTAATATAATTATATATATTACAATTTTTATCATATTTTTATTATTTATAGTATTTATATATTCATCATATATAATTTTTAATTTTATTTTTTATTTAATTTTTTTATTTTTGTTTTATCATTTGATATATTACTATATTTTTAAGATAAAAAAAAATATATTTATTACTTTAAATTATATTAAATTCTTGAAAAATAACTTTTTTCCTAATTTTTTTATTATAGTGTTTAAGTTTAATACTTTTTATCATTTTAAATAATATTAATATTTCAAATTTTAAAAATATTTTTTTTTCTTTGAAAATCACATATCATTTCTTTTATTATTTTAATAAAAATATTTATAATTTTTATATTTATTTATAATTGAATAGTTTTTATATTTTTAATCTTCTTATTCAATTTATTTAAATTATTTGAATTGATAAATATTTTAATTTAATAATTAAAACGATATTCTTAGTTTATCTGTATTTTAATCTTTCTGATTGCCATTATTTTTATTTACATTTGAAGAATCTTTATAATATTATTATTTTTATAATATATCTTTAATATCATTATTTTTTTAGTGAATATTATTAATTTATTATATATTTTTATATACTTTCTTTTGCATGACATTAAAATATATTCTGTATTTAAAAGTATAAAAATTATTTGGATTTAATTATAAAGGAAAATTATATAAATTTAAAACATTAGTCATTTATTTAACTTTTTACCTTTTTTTTCTTTTTTTGTATCTAAAATATTAATTTATTCGTAGAAAAAAATATACAGTCATAATAAAAATAATTACTTTAAGTAAAAAATTAAAAATAATTTTTTATAAAAAATAATATGGTTTCTTATATAAAATATTATCAGAAACATATTTATTTGATATATAGTTTTTAGTATAATTATTTAATTTATAATAAACAAAATAAAAATATACATTATAGAAAAAAATATTTAATATTTATTTAATTAAGACAATACAAAAAATATTTAAATTATAAATCAAAACCAAAAGATTTTAAATATTATTTATATGGATTATTTAAGTATAAATTATATATGCTTTTTATTTGAGTAATTTTGAAAAACAAAAAAATTATTTTTAATATAATAATAAATAAATTTAAAAAATTGTTTAAATAAAATCTATAAAAAAATAATAAATATTATTCAAAACATTTATTTTTAATAATCAATTATTTAAAAATAAATTAAAATGTTAGAAAATATTTAAAAAACAGAAATAAATGAAGACCTTATTTTGGCAACATCCAAAAAAGCATTAAAGCAAATATCAACTATTATTAATTTAAAATTAATAGATTATAAAATTGAAAAAATATAAAATCTAGATAAATTAATATAATTAAAAAAATTAAATTTAAGTTTTAACTGCATAAAATAAATTGAAAACATTTAAAAATTAAAAGATTTAAGATAATTAATATTAGCAAATAATGATATAACATCAATAGGCGGATTGGATGAAAATAAATTACTATAAACCTTAAATTTGTCTAATAATAAAATAACTTTAGTAGATAAATTAAATCATTTAGTCCGCCTTCAAAATTTAGATTTAAGCTATAATTCTATAGATTTAGTTTGTAATATAGAGAGTTTAAGAGATATAAATTATCTAAATCTAGAAAGCAATTTAATAAAAAAAATTGATTTTTTCCCTTAACTGTAGAATGTAAATTATATATAAAAAAAAAAAATTATTCAAACAAAAGCTAAAAGAATTAAATTTAAGTGGAAATTAAATTGATTTTATCCATTAAAAGTTATTTGAAAATTTAACAAGTTTAGAAACTTTAAACTTGAGTAAAAATCGTTTATTAAGTGTAGATTTTTTGAATAGTTTACCTAATTTAGATGTAAAAAAACAACTAAATAATATTATAATATTCAAAAATAGAAATTTTATTGTTCTTAAAATTAAATAGAAAAAATAAATTTAAAAATTTCACTTAGAAATCTTGAACTTTTAGATTTAAGCCAAAATAAATTAAGTGAAATAAGCAGGTTTGGCGAGTTTTTTCCAAATTTATTTGTTCTAGATATTTCTTAGAATAATATATTTATGGATTATGAGTTAGATTTTATTTCTGAACTTGATAATTTATGTGAAATAGATTTTTCAAATAATTTAGTTTAAACGCAATAATTTATGAAAGATTTTTTGAGAAAAAACCCTCTTTTAGAAGTTATTAATGGTAAAATAATGCATAATGCAGGTTTTAGGTTTCAATAAGAATTAAAAGAAGTAAGAGAAGAAATGAAAAAAAATAATCAGGAAAATCAAAATTAAGATATATAAGAATAAATATAATAATTAGAAGATATAAAATCTTAAGAGAATGAAGATGATGAATAAAATTAAGAAAACAAATTTTCAGATGATGAACAAGAAACTGAAGAAGCTTTTACAGGATTTATAACGAATGTTATTAATGATTTTAACTCTATAAAAGTTAAATATTAATCGATTAAAGGGCTTAAATAATTAAATTAAATTAATAAAGAAAATAAAGAAGTTTTTAGCTAAGCCAATATTGATAGAAACGAATAAGAAGAGTTTTCGGAATAAAAATCTCAAAATATTTTATCATAAACAGAAATAAAGCAGGAACTTAAAAATATAGAAAAAAATATAATTAAGTAAACATATTATGCATGTTTTTTTAATTATTATATAATTAATAAAAAAAAGAAAAAAAATAGTCATTATTAACTAATTTAACAATAAATCTAATTTCAATTCTACTTTACCTCCTAGAAGTGTTAATTTAGCTAAAGAATTAAAGAAACTAAGAAAAAATATGAATGATAATTCTTATCTAAGAAAAATTGGAATTGTGAATACTGATATTAAATTAGATGATACTTAAAATTATGAAAAAACACAATAGTTAAGCAAAACAAATAATAGTATTAATTTTAAATCAAGAAAAAACTCAGTTAAAAATATTAATGGACAAGAAAGCAAATAAATTTTATCATGTTATGATATGAGTCCTATTGCGAAAAAAGAAGAAACATAAATTACTAATAGAAATAGTAAAACGAAAACCAAATTAATAGATGCCATTTAACAATCTAATGAACATAATATAAAAGAATGAAAAATATTTATTCTTTTATCTTTCAATGTTATTATATATGAAAATTATATTAATATTTAATAGATTGTATTTCATAAATATATTTTAATAAATTTAAAAATTATAAATTATAAATTAACTTAAATAAATAATAATGTTATATATATATTTTTAATACCTTTATAAATAATTAATTAATAATATGACTTATAATATTATATGAAATCAATTTTACAGTAATTATATTATTTATAATAATTTGTTCAATTTAAATTTTTATTGAAAATTTCTTTTATTTATATTAAAGAAGGTATAAAATACTTATTTAATATAAAATTTTTTATTCAATAATAATAATTTGTAAATTATTTAATATATTTATTATATTAATATTTTATTATATAATAATATTATAAATAAATATAAAAACAATGCTTTAAATTTTTGATGAAATATCTATAAATATAATGAAAATTAAAAAAAATATTATATATTAGTTGTTTATATTTCTTATTAAAAAACTTGATCAGCTAATCAAAAAAGAAATTATCCATTTTTCTCAGGTCTTTTTTTATATTTTTAATTGAATTTTTAAAATAAAATATATAAATAATTAAAAAAATATTAAAAAGTGATATATATATATATATATAAAGGACTTTTGCTTTTTTCTAAAAAAAAAAAGAAAGATTTTTACAAATATAAAAACATAAAAAATACATATTTAAATATTATTTTAAACATAAAAACATAAAATATTAAATAAATATATATAAAAAAAACACATAAAAAAAGAGAAAAAGAGAGGGGAACAAGAGCACAATTAACAAATATAACACATATAATATCATAATCTTTTTTCTATTCCTTCTCTTATATGACTTTCTAATTCATAAAAAAATTACCTTCATGTAAAAAATCAATAACATCAATATTAAATGTATTTCGTTTTGTATTCGTATTCATATTCATATTATTTAAAATATATATATATTTTTACTGTTTTTCATTATTCTTTGTCCTTAATTCCTTTTTATTATATTTTTTTTTCTTAACAATACTTGTTTCAAATTTCATTCTACCAATTCTTCATATCAATTCTTTCCATATTCTTATATATAATATTATTATTAATTATTATTATTATTATTATTAATATACACTACAACAAAATAAAGAACAAAAAATAAATTCATTGTTCGTTTTTTTGATGTTTTTTGTTGTGTTTTTTTTTTTTTAAATATTTTTTTTTAAAAAGTAATAAAGATTGAATTTAAATGAAAAAATTAATAATGCTAAAGCGAACTATCAAAAAGGAAATTTATTAAAGGAAGTTTTTAATATGTAACTTAACTCGAACATTATTTTAAGAAATCAGGAATTCTATTTTTATTAATTAAAATGAAATTCAGATAAGATCAAATTATTTGCCAATTTATAATAAAAAAAGATAACAAGAACTTTAAATTATAGTCAAAAGACTTTAAAAGATATAAAGAAACTATTTATTGAGTACACTTGATTTTGTGAAAATGCACCGGGACTAAGAATTATCTAAACTATTTAAAGTGAACCAATATATCAATAATTACTTTTTTTTTGGAGAATCAAAAAGAATGTATGTGTTGTTCTCTTTAAACCAATAGTGTGCACATAAGTCTTGAAGGAATTTAAGAATTAAAAAAATATTAATAAATATATACTATAAAGAATTGTATGAGATATTTAGTACGTTTAAAAACAGAAATCGAAGTAAACTAGAAACAACTATAAGATGGACTAACCTATTTTTAACTTCTTATAAAATCTATTTCTATTTCTTATAAAAGACCCACTAACTAATTTAAAACAAAAAAAAAAAAAAGATACAACCATTAACAAGAACCAAAGGTGTGGAAAGACAATGTGTAAAAAGACGAACATAAAAAAACCTAACTACTTCTTGTTCTCTTTTTCTTCTTTCTTTTTTTGTGCCTCTTCATTTTGCAAAGAATGGAACCTTTTTAAATACCGAACTAATTATAATTAAAATTACATTCGTTCTAAAATCTTTTGAAATCATTCATTTTTATTTTTGTGAAATGTGTAAAAGGAAATTTCTAAAAATCTGACATTACTCAAGAATCCTTTATAAACCTTTAAATTTATTTAAATTACTCTAACATCTAGAAAGAATAAATCAATAGAAGATTGAATATCATTTTATATGTGTTTTATCCTTGTTTGAATCATAGAATCTCTCAAAGAAGTGAAATCTTTTTTTTTATAGTAAGGAAATATATTTTACTTTATCTTTTCTTTCTTTTTCAACTTTTTCTTCAAAGATTTTGTGTATTCCTTCGATTTAGTTTATTATATAGTGTCATTTATATTGGCCATCTTTTTTATTAAACACATTTTATATTTAATTTACTTCAAAAAGATTCTTCAGTTTCTTTTTCTTGACATCAAAAAGTAATTTTTTTTTATTTTATTATTATTATTTTTTTTTTTTTTTTCTTATTTTTTTTTTAATTATTATTTTTTATTTTTTTTATTTTCTTTGAAGGATTTCTTGTTACTTATTTCTCTCTTGAAAAATCATAAGATCTTCTTTGTTCTTCTTTTCTAATTTTTTTAAGAATTTTTTTATTATTTCAAAGTATATAGTTTTTCACATTTGTAAATATTATGTTCAAGGAATTTTGATTTTAGATTTTTCTTATCTCATGGCTCTCTATTTATAAAACCAATGTTATTCAAAAAAATTTACTTTTTCTAATTTTTGATTTTTTTATTTTTTTTATATTTTTTTATTTAATAATTATTATAATTCTTTTAAATTTTTTTTCATTATAAAAAAAAAAATTCCCTTTTTATTTTTGTCTATTTCATAAAAAATTATTCGAAAACAAAAAAATTCTATTAAATAAAATTATTATATAATTTATAATAATTAAATTTCCCACTTTAAATTATATATAAATAAATTAAATAAATAAATAATGATTAGATATAGATATAAAGCTTTATTAATATGCACCTAATAATTATTTATATATATACTTTTTAATAAAATATCTAAAATAATATATTTTTAAAATATATATAAATATTTATATTTATATGATTAATTTAAACTATAATAGTATTTTTTTTAAAAAAAAATTATATTATTAATTTAAATATAAATATATGTTAGTTAAGAATCATGAATCATATTTAATGCATAAATTTTAACAAAATATTAGAAAAAGAAGATTATATTTAAAAAAAAAAAAAAAATTGGTCTTTATTTAAATATTTTAATAATATTTAGAATTTATATTAATATTAATTAAATATAGAGAAAAAAAAGAAAATTATTTAAATAAAATAATTATAAAAAAAAATAATCAAATAGTATCAAAAAAAAAATTTACAACCTAATATAAATTAAAATTTAAAATAAAATTTTAAATTAATATTATTTAATATTTTATATAATAAAAAATTTAAATTATAAATTGTTTTTAAAATATTAAAATTATTTTTATTGTAATTTTTATAGTTATATCTATATCATTTATATCATAATTTTTACAATGATTATCAATTTTATCAATTTTACAATAATAATTATTAAATATATTATTATCATAATACATTATCATTATAATTACTATTTTTATAATTATTATTATTATTAATATTATTATTATTATAATAATTATTATTATTATTATTATTATTATTTAATTTTTTTTTTCATATTTTATTCTTTTTATTTTTATTATTTAGTTATTTAAATATTTAATTTTTGTTTTTAAATATATTATTTAGATTTTAATTTTTATTAATATATTTTTAATTCCTTTTTATGTATAATATATTGTGAACTTATTTTAAATTATAGCTTTTTTTATAAATATATTTTTAATATAATATTTTAAATAAATTTTTATTTTATATTTTATTTATGTATAAATTAGTATTCAATTTATATAATTATGCTTATAATTTTTCGTTATTTGTTTTTATCATGTTTCAAATATATTTTATTTTATTTTATATTAACTTTAATTTAGTTATTTGTTTTTTAATTATTTTTATTTTTTATATATTTTTTAATTTTATTATATTCTATTAAATTTGATTAATTAAATTTTACTATGCTTTAAAATAATTGTTTTGATCAATTTAATTTATTAATCAACTTATTTAAATTTATAAAATTATTTTAAAGAAACATTTAAGCTTACAAATTTTATTTTATATTTACTAAATTTTGAAATTAAATATTTTATAAAATAATAATTTTTATAATAATATGAAGTATTTATTTTCTTAATTTATTAAATTAATATTTTTTTTATAAAAATTATTTAAATAAAATTATTGGAATCCAAAATATTTTTTAAAATGATTTTACTAAAAAACAAATTATTTAATATTATAGTTATTTCTTAATCTTAATTTTTTTTTTTTAATATAAATTTTTTTATAATAAGATATAATATTTAAATCAAATCAGTTAATTTAGTTATTGATGCTTATTTATTATTAAATAATATCTTAATCCCATTAAATAGGTTATGATCCGAAGTTCAATTTTTTAAATAGAACTCTTAGTATTTTTTCCTTTTCTTCTAATTCTAAATCAGAAAAATTTATTTTATTTTCAAAATTAATTTTAAAGTTTTATTAGTCTGTTGGTTAAGATTTATTGGTAATTTCAGGTAATTTTAAACTACTATTAATACTTACATTTGTGTTTTTCTTAAGTTTATATTTATCTCTTATCTATTACTTTATATTATTTAATGAATCTAAAAAAAAAGATTCTATTTGTGATCTTTGGTCTATAATATAATTAGCTAAATTTTTAACATTTTTAAGATCAATATTTTTGATTTTTAATTCAGCTTTAATTTCTAAATTATTTTTATTTAAAATAAATAATTTAATTAATAAACTATAATTACTTACAGTCAATTTTATATTACAGCTCTTCTCTTCTTTATTTATCTTATAATCGCATAAATTCTAATTCCTTTGTTTATTTAGTAACATCCTTTTAAAATAATATAAATATAATCTTTTCTTTTCTAATAATATAATAATAGTACATCTGAAATTTATTATTTTAGTTTTTCTACTTCATCTTTTATTTTTTTAATTTAATTTTCTTATTTTTGATTAACTATTTAATATTCTAAAATGCCTTCTTTATTAACTTATAAATTAAGTTTCGAATTCTTATTGAATTTTAATAAATTATCTCTTTCCTTTTTCATTTCTAGAACTTCTTTTTATTTTATAATTAATTATTATTTAAGCAATTTGTTTTCTTATATTTTTTTAAATTCTCTATCTCTTGCATCTTTAATAAAAAAAAAATATAAATTTTGAAATATATATAATAGTAATGTTCAATTGAATTTAATTATAATTATATATTTAAAAATAAATAATTTAGTATTTTTTTGATTTCATAATATCAATTTTAAATTAATTTAATTTTACCTTTTTCTGCTGCTTTTTAAGCACTTTTTCTGTTGTCATCAATTTTAGCTTAAGATATATTATCCATCTGTATCAATTTTTAAGATTGGTCTTTTTCTTGTTTTTATAGTTCATCATGATGTGCTAGTTCTTTTTCTCTCTCTTCACGTAATAAATATTCTATCCTTTCTTATAATTATTTTTCTCTATCCTAAAATTATAAAGATAAAATACAATACATATAATTTAAAAATAACATGATAATGTCTTAAAGGATTTATCTCTTATAATATCTCCTCATTTTTAGATTTTAATTCACTTACTTCTTTAAGTTTATCTGTATTTAATTGTTCAAAATCTATTTTTTTTTGTCTTCTTTAGACTGCAATTCATTTTCGAATTTTATTTTGTCAGTTTCATATTTTTATGAAAGTTGCAAAAAATATTCTTTTTTGAATTCTATATCATGAATCATTTTTTTATTTAGTTTAGCCTGTTTATTAATTTTATAAAATCAATAATTGAAGTAAATTTTTAATTTAATTATTTTTTTGTGCGTATTTTATAGTTAATTATTTTTTTAAAATTTTATACATTATCTATTTTATCGACTCTAAGTTATTCAATTAAATCATATATTTCTTAAACTCTTTATATTATATTTTTATTTGATTTTTATTTTATAATTTATCATTTACTTAGAAGCAATTTCAACTTTTTTTTAAATAAGTAAATCTTCCCATATACCTTTGTCTCTATAATATAAATTAAAAAAAAAAATTTATTGAATTTTTTAGTAAAAAATAATTAAAATTTTACAATGAATTTAAGGCTTTTTCTTCAGCGTCAGTAAACTTATTTTTATTTTCTTCTTTATCAGCATCTGCTTTTTTATTCTTTGACATATTATATATAAAAAAAAAAATTAATATATAAAAATAATTTAATTTAATAAATATATATAAAAACAAAAAAATTAAATATATAATTTATTTAATTTTAAAAAAATTATAAAATTATTGAAAAAATACATAAATTAAATTATAATTAATTTAATTTATAAATATAATTAAAAATAATTAAATATAATTATAAATAATATAATATAATTATTAATCATTTTTATTTAAATATTGTGATAATTATTACTTTTTTATTTCTTTTTTTATTTATTTTTATTTATTAATATCTATTTAATATAAAAAATGTTTTTATTTTATTTTCCATTGTTTTTTTTTTATATTATATACTAATATACGAATAATATAAAATTTATTTTTTAAAAAGTAACATAAATATTTCTTTTTAATTATTTTTACAAATTTCATTATAAAAAGATATTATATATCTGTAAAAATAAAATGTAAGACTAATCTTAAGAATTTGTATGGTATTATATAGATGATTCAAAATAACCTATAGGGCCATATTGTTAAAGAGATTTAGACGTCATGTATAAGACTTCATTAATTAACTCCTCTACATATGTATGGAAAAATACAATGTTAGAATGGAAATAATATTTTTAAGTTTAAGAGTTATTTGAAGATTAAAAAGAAATTGATTAAATATAAGATCTTTATGAAAGAGAAAATTTTAAAATAGAAGCGGATGCATAAGCTTAAAAGCAATAAAAGTAATAAAAATATTAGTAAAAATAGGAAGAAAAACATAAAAAGTTGATTGAAAAAGAAATAGAGAATGATTAATATTAAAAACTTTATTAGGAAAATCCAGTTGAAGCTTATGAATATTCAGCTAATAAGCTTTTAGAAAATTATGTATATTAAAAGGATAATTAATGGCATATTTTTGATGAAGAAAATTAAGAATGGTACACTTAAAAAGAAAAACCTGAAGAGATAATAGAAAAAAAGAAATAAATGATAAAATTTGATATATAGTAGAAAACTTAATCATTAACTGCAGAAGACATTAGAAAAATAAAAAGAAAAAAAGCAAAATAAAGGAGATAAAATGAAAAAAAGAAAGAAAAATGGTATAATCCGAAATATAACACATACATATATATTTCAGGATTACCAAAAAATATTACTATTGAAAAATTGGATTAATTCTTTTCCAGAGCCGGAGTCATAAGAAAAGATCATGTATCATTAGAAAAGAAAATTAAAATTTATAAGGTAATTTTTCATTTTTTTTATTATTATTTAAAAAAAAATTAGGATAAAGATGGTAGTCCTAAAGGAGATGCTGCTATTAGTTATACAATGATTGAAAGTATTGATTTGGCTATTACTATGCTTGATTAAAGAGAAATTGAACCAGGGTATATTATTAAAGTTGAAAAAGCCTAGTTTAATTAACATGGAGAATAATATAAGAAAAGATTGGGAGAAAAATAAAATAATTGTGATAAAGTCAAAAAACTTTAAAATTAAGCGGAAATCAAATAATAGTTGGGATGGGAAGATGAAGATTAAATAGATACCGGATTAAAAATTGTTACTATTAAAAATTTATTTAATCCAAATTAGGAAAAAAGTGATACTTTCTATGAAGACCTACAAAGTGAAGTTATTTAGGAAATCTAAAATTCTGTTGGACCTGTTTAAAGGTTCAAAATTTTCGAAAATAACCCTGAAGGAGTGGTATAAATTAAATTTAAGAACAGTTAGATTGCTTAGAAATGTATTGAAATTATGAATGGAAGGTTTTTTGATGAAAAGCAATTGATATGTGAATATTGGGATGGTGTTACTGATTATAAAACTGATAAGAATGAAATAGAAGATGAGGATTAAAGACTTGATGATTTTGGTAAATGGATTGTAGAAAAAAATAAAGAATAATTGTGAAGCTCAATTATATATATTTTTTTTATATTAAATATTTATTTTTAGCCTTTTTTTTTTTTTAATTTCTTATCTAATTATCTTTAAAAATTCAATCAAAAAATAAAGAAGCCAATATCCATTTTTTATCTGCTTTTTTTTTATATATCAATTGTATTTTTTAAAAAAAGGTTTTTTCCCAATTTAATTTTATATTATTTAAATATCCTTTTAGTTTATTTTAATTAATTATTATATATATATATTTTTAATTATTAAAAAAAAACTAATGAAAGTATTTATCTTTTTTCTTCTTTTTTTATTAATCATAATACGTTCATTTAATATTCCTGGATTTTCTGAAAATTCTTATAATAAAAACAGTATTTTAGAAGTTCTTGTATCGGAAGTAAAATCTTTGGAAACACAATTACCTTATAAATATAATGAATTTGATTTTTGTGATGCTTATTAAAGGTAAGATATTGATGAGTCAATAGCTGAAGCACTTTTAGGGGAAAATAAATAAGTTTCTTAGATTTAATTTTAGGTTTTTTAATTTAATTTAAATTATTTTATTTTAAGAAATAATTATTTTATAGTTTTAAAATGACTAAACATGCTAGATTATATGTAGAAAATAATATGATAAATAGTAAATTGATGAGTTTGAATGGTTAGTAGAAAGAGAATATAAATATGATATGTACATTTTAATTTTAAAATATTTATGTATATAAAAATATATTTTTTTATAAAAAAAGAATTGTTGACAATGTTCCAGCTATAGCATAATTAGATTTAGGTTAAGGTGTTTTAGAAGAATCATTGGAAGGAATTCCTATTGGATTTTATAATGTTATAAATTTTTATATATTCTATCAATAATTTTTATTTTATTTAAATTAATAAAAAAAAGGAATAAAATGAATTTTATTTATACAATCATTTTGATTTCACTGTAATTTATTATTAAGATAGTTTTGAAAAATATAAAATTGCAGTTTTTTAAGTAATACCAAGTTCCTAAGGAGCTTTTGATTACAAAACTCCATTTTGTTAAATTTAAAAAAATGATTAAATTGTTTAAAAATAAGATTTGAAGAATATATTTTATACATATTCTGTAAAATATATAATGGATAATACCAAATCAATAACTTCTCGATGGGAAAGATATAGAAATTAAGAAGATTTAGAAAATCATTAAGGAACTTTAATTAATTCTTTCACAGTTAATTTGGCTTTAGCTTTATTAATTTATTGTATTTTGAGACGAATATTAATGAAGGATTTAAGCTAATATTCATAATTATAGCATTAAGTAAATATAATAAATTTAATAATTAAAAAATATATAATAAATAGGAAACAGATAATGATGAAATGGGTTGGAAATAATTAAAATCTGATGTTTTTAGGGCTCCTGGTAATCCTATTGTACTTTCTACTTTTGTTGGTGTTGGATTATAATTAGGAACTATAATTATTTTATCGATTGTTTTTATAGCTATATAGTATAATTTTGAAAAATATAGAACATCATCTTTTTTGAATGTATTAATTATATTTTACATTATAAGTGGGTTTATTTCTGGTTATTATAGTGCTAGGATATACAAAATGCTTGGAGTAAAGAAATTTAAATTATTTTATTTAATTCATATTATTGTTTTATATTATAAAGGGATGCTATTGGTTAAGATCTACTATTTTAACCACTATTATATTTCCAGGAATAATATCATTTATTTATTTTATAATTGAGTTTGCAATGTTTTTGGAAGAATCTTTATATACTATAAGATTTAAAACTATTTTCTAATTATTCTTTTTTTGGTTTTTAGTACAGATTCCTCTTGTTTTTTTTGGTTCAGTATTAGGATTTAAAAGACAAAAAATTTAATAAATTTGCAGAATAAACCCTGTGCCTATGCCTATTCCTAAATAATATATATTCTTAAGTAGACATATGCTTTGTATTATTGGAGGTTTACTTCCCTTTGGATGTATTCTATTTGAACTAACCTATATTGTTAAATCTATTTGGAATAATCAATTTTTTTATCTTTTTGGCTTTTTATTATTAGCTGTATTGCTTTTGATTATTACTTGTGCTGAAATCTCTATTTTATTAACCTATGTTTAATTAAATAAGTAATTTTTTTAGCATAAATTTAATTTAAAATTTATATAGTGGTAATCATAAATGGTGGTGGAATTCATTTTATAGTACAGGATTTTGTGGAGTTTATGTATATGCCTATTGTTTCTTTTATTGGCTTTTTTATCTTAATATTACTAGACTTTCTTCAACAATAATGTATTTTGGTACTATGGCAATAGGAAGTATTGCAATGTTTTTGTTTTGTGGTTCAGTAGGTTTTGTATCTTCCTGCTTGTTTACACGTTATATATATGCATAAATAAAAGCAGATTGAAAATATAATAATTTATATTAAAATATTTGTTTATTTTTTTAAAAAATAAATAATATATTTTTGATATTTAATAAAATATATTAGAAAAACAACAAAGGATAAAAAAACAGGAAAAAAATATAATATATATTTTTTCAAAAAAAAAAAAAAATGTCAGGATTATTTAAATCATTCAGCAATTTTGTAAGTAGAAGTACATTAGCTTAAGCAAATAATTACTTGTTAAGATAAACCAACTAAACATTACATCCTACAGCTTATTATTATAATGGAGAAGTATTATAACAAGGTCATGGATTGGATATATTTTAACTTTCAGTAACAACTGCAGCATTGACACATTAAGCAAATGATTACTTAGATTTATTAAAAAATTTAGAATAATCGAATTAGGTAAAAAAAGAAATATAAGAAAGATTGAACTCAAACATAATATCAATAACTAACTACTTTAGTTCAATACTTAATTAATTAAAATATGATTAAGAGTTAACAGTTTAATCAGTAGCTGATATTATTTATGTTCTTGCTTATGGACCTCTATAACGTGAGGATGCATTAGACATAATATAAGATAAGCTTGTTACAGTATTAAAAGGTCCAAAATTACATTGGGCATCATCTTAAAATTTATAAGATATTATTAATTCTTTAAATAAACTTAATTTTAATGATAATGCTCTTTTCACTTAATTACTAAATGAACTTAACTCTAGAGAACATTAATTTGTTAATGTTAAAACACACGCATGGACAGTAGATTAATACGAAAAATGCTGTTCAAAATGCAATTGGAATGTACTTAGCTGCAATCATAATTATTTTAGAGAATATGTGAATAAAGGAGGAAGTAATTCAAGTTATAATAGACTGAAATTCTGGTTTACTGAATTATTTGATGGATTTACTTACAGAATTATTAATCCTTTATTCTTTAGAGAAAAGAGAATCTATAGAAGATTTGAAGGTAGAAATAATGAAATCGAAATTTTTAAGCTTATTGATACTTTGGAATAATTAGAAAGTAAAATTCCTGATTAAAAATAAGTTATTTTATAACTTAAGGAAAGATATTAATAATAATGATTTTTATTTTATTTTTAATATATTTTTTTTATTTTTTTTAAATAAATAAATAAAGTATATGTTTTTTTTATTTTCTTTAAAATTTATTGATAGAATGAAAAAAATAAATATCTAAAAAATTAAATATATTAGAGATTTGTTTCTAGAATTTTTATTATTTTAAAGTTTATACTGTTTATATAATTTAAATTACTTTATTATTAAAATTTTAGAATTAATTGAATAAATAAAAAAAATTTACTTCGATATCAATATAATATATTATTGCTTTTTAATGGACATCTTAAATCATTATCTGAATAAGCTATAAATTTAGATATATTTTAAGTGTTAAGCAAATTATTATCCTATTCAGTATCTAATTTTATATCTTCCATTTAATAAGCCATATTAAATTCTTTATTAACATTTTAAATTTCGATTTTCATATTATTTCCTTATTTAGGTTTTTTATGATTTCTTATAACAACAAAATTAGCTCTTTTTTGCTTACCGAGCACTAAAGGTGTATAAAATTTAGGTTTTAATTAATTACTAATTGAATTTCCTGCCGTATAAATACCTCTAAGTGAAGAATTTCTTGCTTTGATATTACCTTGAGGTAAATGTTTTGGACTAGGAGGTATTTTTACATCTAATTCACCAGGCTTATAATGTAATACTTCTCCATATTTCATATATATTCCTGAAAAAATAAGAACAAAAAGCCCAAATAAGCTTGCAGCTCTTGGAAAAGATATATATTCACACAAAATACCTCCTAATAATGGTCCTATAAATTCTCCAACTGCATAGCTTGTATTGTAAAGTGCACTAGCAATATCTCCCATTATTTCTTAATTTTCATCGGGATACATTTTACATAAAATTTTAAATAATTAAGGTAAAGCAGGAATATAAATAAATAAAGTAGCCAAACCTTAAACTCCATCTGCAGCTAATGTAATATAAAGACTTTTAGGCAATCCAGTAAGTTCATCAGGTCCTTTTTAATTTTTTTTTTAAATAAATAAATGTATTTTTATATACCTAAAAAGAAGAAAGATACTCCTGTCATAATAGCTCCTATTAATAATAACATTTCATAATTATTAGTTAATTTCATTATTCGGGTTCCAAAAGGAGTAAAAATCATATAAACAATAGTACTTACTGAAAATACGAGACCTATTTATAGATCATTTAATCCAAAGGTTTCTGAATAAAATATTCCCATAGTTGGATCTAAAAAAAGTAAGCCACAACAAGGGAGAAAAATAATAATGTAATTTAAAACTATGTTTTTATTTTTAAAAATCTCTCGATAATTTACTTCAAATTCTTCTTCTTCGTCATCTTCTTCATCGTCGGTTTGCGCTTTTTAAACTTTTGATTGAATTTCTCTTTCACATACTTCACTTTGTAAAGGAATTAATTTCTAAAAGGCTGGAATCTTTTATATTTTTTTTAATATATATATGTTTTTATTTTCTTTCTTACTAATGCGAAACTTATTATTGCAAAAAATATAAATGGACAAAAATATCCATATAATTCTAAAAGTAAACTTCCTAATATAGGCCCAATCATTAATCCTAAAGCAACTGAGGATTCCATATAAGCACATTTTTCTTCGAAAGTAGATTTATATAATAATGGAATGTATGAAAATGCAGGAGTACTAAATAAAGCATTTCCTATCCCCAACAAAAGCCTTGAAAGTAAAGTCGCGCAGATAAAAAGCCATTTTTCCTCTATCATGAATACAAATCCAAAACCAATCATTCCTATTCCAGTTAAAAAAACACCAATTATTGTTGCTGGCTTTCTATTTTCTCCCTTTGATAAGTATTTACTTAAAAGTAATGTTACTATAAAATTTCCTACTGGATGAACACTAAAAATTAATCCTATGTAGGACATTGATATTCCATATTGTATTGCCCTTTAAGGAAAAAACGGGGATATAGCTGAATTTGCTGAGTTTAATATAAATTAACCTAAGTATAAAGCAAATAATAATGGATCCATTATTTTTATTTTTTAAATAATATTATTGTATTAATTACAAAAAAATTTAATTTATTATAACGTGTTAAAAAAATGTTAATATTTTTGTTTAAATACTTTATTTTAAATAATAGTTAATAAAATAAAAAAGTTAAACTGATCTAATAAGAAAGTTTAATGCTTTAAAAAATAAAATAAGTGATATAAATAGAATTTATTTATAATTTTTATAAAATTTAAATTAAATTTAGATTTATATTTTTAAAAATATATTATTAATTTAATTTAAAAAAATATAATTATTGTATTATGTTTCTAAATATAAAAGATTCAAATTATATTTAAAAATATTTTATTTAATATTCCCTAAATTTTTTATATATTAATTAAATAAAATTATTGATTTATATCTTGTAAAAAACAAAATAATTATTTAAAATTTACAAATAATGGGACGCTAAAAAAGAGATTTAAGCTACTTATTACCATTTTGTTATTATTGTGATAAAACATTTGAAAATGAAATTATTTTACATTAACATTAAAAAGCTAAGCATTTTACATGCGAAAAATGCTTTAAAAAATTTAGTACAGCAGATTTAATAAAAACACATTTACATTAGGCACATATGGAGAATTTAACAAAGTTATTTTTTATTTATTTAAAATGTTTTTTCATTTGAAATTCAAATACTATCTTTTATTAATTTTAAACAATAGAGTTTCAAACGCATTACCTGATAGATCAAGTGTTGAATTAAAAATATTTGGAATGTAAGGAGTTCCAAGAAATTTAATTGAGGAAAGATAAAAAACAAAAGGTAATTTAAAAAAAAAAATTAAATATATAAAAATAAGAAATATTAATTATTTCAATAAAGCGAAAGAATATTGGGAGAAAATAATAAATGAGAAAAATTAGAAATTGAAAAAAGAATAAAAAATAATGGAAAAAGAGTTAAAAAAGAAAAACAGAATATAATAAATTAATAATAAAGTTACAGACGAATAAAAAAAAGATCTAAAGAAAAACGAAGAAATTTTAGAACTTCCTATACCTATGAATACAATAAGTTTTGGTTTAACAATTAAATAAAAACCAGAAGAAAAAAGAGAAGTAGAAAAACCAACAAATGTTTTCGGATTTGAATGAGTTTAATTTTTACATAAATATATTATATATTAATATGTTTATTTATTTAAAGATTTATGAATTGAATAAGTATATATATTACATTTTACTAAATTATTATACATTTATTTAATTTTTTATTTATTTTTTCATTTTTTATTTAAAATTTATAATTTTTAAGCTAATTAATTTGTAAAAATTAACTATTTTAAATCAATTTAATAACCAGCTTTATGTTCATCTATATTATTTTATTCATTTTCTTATTTTTTTTAGTTTTCTGCTTCTAATTAAATCAATTAGCTATGTTAATATCTACTAAATTTTGAGTTTAGTTAATTATTAAGTGAAATTTCGACTAGTTTAGGAGAATAATGATTATTTCTTTTTTAATCTATAGTTTATTATTCGAAAGATTTTAAAATTTAAGGATCTATAATTTCAATTATTTTTTTATCTAATTCTGTTTATTTATGAATATCTTTGTTGATTTCTTAAAATGCTTAAAAAGCTTCAAAAGCTTTTTCTTCTTCGGTTTTTTTTTCCTAATATAACTAATAATTTCCTTTTTCAGAATTTTTATTTAAATAAATAATAGGTTTAGGTAAATATTCAAAAAGTTTAAGTTAATTTTAATTAAGTAAAATCGTTTTTAATTTATCGAGTTCAGTTATTTTTTTTATTATATAAAATATATCTAAATGGTTATACAATATTTACTTTCCTTTTTATATTTATAATTTTTTTATTTTTAATTATTTAGAAGGGCAATATAAATAACGAATATATTCAATAAACTTAAATTTAATTTTTTTAATTTAACTTTTAAGAGAGTTCAAATATAATTAGTTTAAATTCTATTTTTAGTTTGACTTTTATGCTTAAATAGTATTTTCTATATTTAGTTGTTTAGAATATAACAAAGAAAATGAATATTGTATATAATTTTTTATACGGATAAAAATTGATTGAGATTACTATATCTAATTTTCTTATTAATTTATTTAAATTGATTTTTTTTTTATATATTTTTTATATTTAAAACAATTATTTGAACTTTTTTATTCGAATTAGTTTTATTTAGGGCTTTCTTAATTAAATTATTAAATATTATTTAAATTGCTTTATAGCTTTGCATTTTAAATTTAACTTTTTTATTGTTGATACGGTTTTTTTCTTTTTTTTCCAAACTTTTCTATCTGGAATTAAAAAAGCTAGTTTATCAATTTTCTGTTTAAATCAAATTAACTAATTGGATAGCAAAAAATTATTCCAATTGTGAATAAAGATTAAAAGCTACCACCAAGTGTACCTAATACTTCTTCTATTTTTAAATACCGTCTATTCCAAAAGTTTAATTATTTATCCTCAAACTAAATATTTAATTGAAATAATGTATTACTATTTGTCTGTAAAGTCTATTAAAATTAAGATTATATTATGATAAAATAAGGTATATTATAAATAAATAAATTAATAATTGCACATTTTATTTAAATAAAATAAAAATTTGTTTTATAATTTTTTGTTAAGTCAATATATTTTTTTTTATTAGTAATTTTTTTTAAAAGCTCAAAAAAAAAAAAGAAAGAAAAAATGAAAAATTTACTTTTTTTTCTTTTTTTCTATTATTGAGTTTTAAAAAAAAAAATTATAAAAAAAAAAAAAAAAAACATGAAAAATAAATATATAAAAAATATAATTTTTTAAAAATTTCTTATTATATTTACATTTATTTCATATTATGAATAAGTTATATTTTAATAAGTTGTTTTTTTTAAATTATTTATTATTCCTTCTTCACTTACAATATAATTATCAATCAAATATAAGTTTATAACTTTTAATAAATTATCATTTGAATTAAACTTTAATCTTCTACTAATATTCTTAAAAGGATATCCTTTTTATTATATGTCAAAATATTTATCAGAAAAATAAATCATTAATTATGGATTTTTAAAATATTAATCGTATTTTTCATCATTTTTATCAATGCAATTAATATTTTATTAACATTTATTAACATTTATTTATATATAGGAAAAATACGTATTGTCAATATCACCTCCAATCTCGATATCGTATATAATTGGTTAGTCATTTTTAATACAGTATAAATTGTTAAAATTAACGTTAAAAAGTTTTATTAATTTATCATAACCAAATGAGTTTGTATTGCATTATTCCATCTCTATATCATAAAATTGATAAGTTAAAGTACTTTCTGGAGATGTTCTTCTTCCTATAACTTATTAAGCAGTAATATTATATATTTTTTGATCAAAAACAGGAAGTTCTTAATTATTACGGAGAGCAAGTGCAAAGTAAAAATCGTTTTATTTAATTTTAAATATTCTATTAGCTTCTATATATTATATTCTATATTATAGTTTTGGATTATTTCCTTAAAATAATTCAATAAATTATGAAATCATTAAATAAGCAAGAATTATATAAATAAAAAATGTTATTGTCGCTCCAAATATAGTCTGATGTTTTTCTTTTTGCTAAAAACGTATGCTTATATTTTTGCCAAAAATATCTATTTTTCTCAAATTAAAGTTGCCGATCATATTTTTTTATATTGAATTAAACGTAATTTTTAAAAACAAAATATTTAATTGTTATTTAAAAATAAAATTTATTTAATTAAATTTATTATTTATTAATAATATACTTAATTACTTTTTATATTTATCTTTAAACACTCTAAACATATATTTTCAATATAATTAATATAAATTTAAATATTTTTTTTTTTTTTAAGTTTATTTATTTAATAATTTTTATCCTTTTCATCATTAAAACAAATGCAAAAACTTTTAACAATATGAAAAATAATGTTTAATTAATAATCAAAAAAAATAAACATTAAAAAATAAAAAATTATTTTTATTAATATTTAATCAAAATAAATTGAATATAAAAATATACAAATATTTTAAATATTAAATAATTTAAACAAAAATGATTAAAAAAACTATATTTTCGTTTTCTAATTTCTATAAAGCAAATTCATTTTTACGTCAAAACGAATTTTAAAAATCAATTGAACTTCTTTAAAACCCAAATACCATCCTCGAATATAAAACTTTAGCAAAAGCATAATTAGGATTAGGATAGCTATAATAAGGTGCTCAAAATTTTGAGGTAGCATTAAATTTAAATCCATCAGATATTGAAACAAACATTTTTTATGCAATAACTCTAAGTTAAGAAGAGAAAGAAAATGATGAAAAATTAAAACAATTATAAAATAAATTACTTGAAAATTTTAAAGATTAAAATGAAAGTTAACTAATATAAGCTGGATTAAGTTTGATTGATCGAGATTATATTTAAATTGAATTACTTTTATAAAATCCAACTAATTATAAAAATGAAAATGATCGTTTTTTTGCTTTTGGATTATTAAAAGAATCATTAGCTCAATAAAATAAATTTTCAGAAGCATAAAAATTATTAGAATAATGTTTAAAAGAATGTCCTTCATTTTAATGGGAAATATATTATGAATTAGGGAAAAACTAAAAAATAAATTTTTAATAAAAAAAGAATTACTTATAAAATTCAATTTCTTGTTAAAAAGATTAATTTGATATATTTACTGAACTTGCTCAAATCGAAATTTAATAATAAAATTTTTAATAAGCTTAATAATATATAAATAATTCTTTATAAATAGTACATAATTATTGGAAAAATTATAGTCTTTAAGCAAATATTTACGCAAGTTAAGATAAATTTTCCTAAGCTGAAGAAGCTATTAAATTAGGATTATAATTTGCGGAATAAAAGGCGATTTACTTAGTTAGTATGGCCTGTTTTTATTATAAAAAGGATTACCAGATTAAGCTTTAGAATATCTATTTTAAGCCCTTGATGAAGAAAATAGTATCCCTTAATATTATTATAATGTAGCTTAGGCTTATTAATAATAGGGGGAGTTTGAAGATGCTATAGAATATTATGAAAAAGGTCTTAGCTTGGATTAAGATAATATTTAAATTTTAAAATAATGTGGATTGCTATTCATAAAAATAAAGAAAGGAAAAGATGCATTGAAGATTTTTTAAAAAATATCTAAATTTAATCATAACAATTAGGATTTATAAAAATATATAACTTAGGCTAAATAATTATGATAAATTATATATTTTTTAATTTTTTTTTAATATTATTTGTAAGCTAATGGAATAATTAAATCATTATTTTTAATTTCGAAATCTTAAAATATAAAATCAAGAATATAATTAAAGTGGAATATATTTATTATATTTAAATATTACAATATTAAAAATAGCATTTCCATTTTAAAATTTTATGTCTATTGAATAATATATAATTACTTATATATTTTATTTTTTAATATTTTTTATATTTTTATATACTTAATAGAAAAAATAATAATAAATGGAAAACATCTCTTTTTTTCTTTTTTTTTCGATTGTGTTTTCTTTTTAAAATAAAAATAAAAAAATAAATAAGTAATACATATTTATTATAAATTTTTAATTTATTAATATATAATATAATTTACATACAATAAATAAATTCAGATATTTTTTAATTTAAAATTTAATTTAATGGAAGAGTTAACATCAATCGAAGATTTGTAATAATTAGCTATATTAGGTATAAATAATACTTTTATGTTTTTAAAATCTTTTTTAAAACTAAATTTAGGATATAAGGTTTAAATTAAAATTTTAGATGAAGAATTTATAGGAGAAATTGTACATTATAATCCATAAGTTGGTGTATTAATATTGAGTAAAAACCTCAAAACATATTAATATAATGGTAAAATATTTATTAAAAAAAAAATAGAAGAAAGAAATCATTTAGATTAATTTAATTATAGGCTTATTAATGCAAACATAATTTAAGAGTTAAATATTTTTGATAGATTTAGTGATATTAAAGTAAAATTATCAAAAATAAAATTATTTTATTAAATAATGTTTATGTTTAAGGAAATTTTGGAAAATATAGATACTCGAAAATTAGATATTGATTAGGTTTTGAAATATGAAGAACAAGTATATGAGAACTTAAATTAAAAAACAACCACTAGTGAACAGGAATTAAAAATTAGGTTTTTTAATATCTTACTTAAAACATATTCTTCTTCTGAATGGAAAGATGAAAATATATATATTTATGATCTTAAAGTTACAATTTAACCTCCTTATAATGAAAGTATTTAATTTTTATTATGTCTAATTATTAATTATTTTATTTAAAAAGATAATGTGATTGGCGAAAATAAAAAAGCAGTTGAAAGAGTCCAAAAAATTGTATTAATTAAAATTTTATTTTTGTTTAAAAGATATATTTAATTAGGTAATTCAAATACACAAAAAACTAAAAAGCACTAAATGAATTTGATTTTTGTTTATACATTCCAAAAGTAAATTAAAAAAAATTATTAATTTTTATAAATATTTGTAAAAAATTTTTAAATATGAAAATAAAAATAGATAAGTAAAAAAATTCAATTATTTTTTTTAATTTTCTTTGATTAAATATATATTTTATATTTTAATAATTTTTTTTAATTGAAAATCTAGTTTAGACATTTTATTTTTCTCATATTAAAATACTCTTTTATTATTAACTTTATTTTATCATTAACATAAAACTTTTTTTTATTCTAATTATTCTAATTATTCTATTTTATTTTATATTTCTTATAAATCGTTTTCATATTAAATTATATTGTAAAGTTTTGTGATGCATTCTTTATCGTTTTAACTTATTAATCTATAATCAAATCAATATTAAGTAGATCTTATCTTGATAATTCTTCATCTTTCTATTTTATTTTATTTTATTTTATTTAAATAAATGAAGATTCTTTTTTACGTTAATACATAGTTTAAGTTTATTTATTATCATATAATATTCAGTTTATCCTAAAATTTATATACATCTTTGTCGGTTTTATTGGATTTATATTTGCAAATATTTTTATTATTCTTGAAATTTATGAATTTTAGGATTATCTGATTTATATTATATAATATTTTAATTTTTTTCTTATATCTCTGTCAATATTTTTTTTTTTTATTAAAATATTTCAACTTTGTTAGTTATTTGAACTTTATTAAACATTTATTTTGGGGATATTTCTCTATTTTTATTAATTGTATATGTTCTTTTTTTATTTAACGGCTATTAGTTTATTTATTTATCTTCAGTAATTTATTCAAGTTTAAAATTGCGATTAATTTGTTTTTTTTTTGTATAAGTTTCAATTAGTCACTAAAATTATTTGAATTTTTAAAATCTTGATTTAGATGAGAAACGAAAAATTATTTGTCACTTTTACTTGGATTAAATGCACTTTTTATTTAATATTAATTATAATTATAAATTTTTGGCTATGGAGTTCCAAAATTATTTACATGTACATTTTTAGGAGTTTTTATATTGCTTAAATTTTTACTTTTTTAAATAATTTCATTCTCATTTTTATTCTATAAAAATCTACTACTAAAATTAATTATTATATCTTAATCAGTATTTTTTTTTTTTCTTATTCTCCTTCTTCAGTTTTTTATACTTTTTTTATAAATATTTAATTTGATTATTTATTTGATGTTTCTATTGGTATTATTTTTAATTATAAATTACTAGTCAATAATTATTATTATTCATTATTCAAAATAATATCTTAACATTTTAATTTCTATAAAATTTCTTTATCTTACAAAAGTTAGAATATAGAAGGCCTTTTTGTATGATCTTTTGTTAGACATTTTTAAATTAGATTAGACAAAGAAAGCGAATATATATCAGGTAATGGATCATACTAACATTTTTATATTTTAAACATTAATGAATTATAATTTCCAGCTTCAAAAGGTTTTTTATATGTAGCAAGTTAATAGAGAACACATCCGAAAGACCAAAGATCGCTTTTTTCATTATAAGGAATATCTTTAATAATTTCAGGAGACATATAATAAGGTGTTCCTACTTATGCTCTAGCAAATTTATCATTATTTTAAAGTTATTTAGCAACACCAAGATCACCTATTTTTAATTTTTAGTTAGATGAAATGAATATATTCATTGTTTTAATATCTCTATGTAATATTTTTTTTCATGTAATTACTATATTCCTTATGCAATTTAATAAAAGAATTACCAAATCTATTTTTCTTTTAATGGTCTTTGTAATTAATTTTTTATGAAATTCTCTAAATCTCCTCCTGGACAATATTCCATTATAATTGAAAGACTGTTTTCATGAAAAAAGCTGTCATAATATTGTACTATATAATCACTTTAGAATGAATTCAATAATATTGCTTCGTTTATGCATTCGTTTTTTTACATTAAGGACATATTTTATATGTTTATTTATTTTAAAACATATATTTTTTAATCTGTTTTTCTAAGTACTTTATATACGGTACCAAATGAACCTTAGCCAAGTTTTTTTTATATTTCAAAATCTTAAAACGTACTTTGCTTTTATTACATTTTTATATTTTTATTTTTTTTTATTAATTGTAAATTAAATTTTAAATTATGTATATTATTTTCTATTAGTGATATACTTATAGAAGTTGGATTTAGGTAAAAGTATCAAAATATTTTATTTTTTTAAAACTAGTTATATTAAATATAATTTTTTTTAAATGTTGAACAAAAAAAATCTGTTTATAAAACTATGATTAATACGATACAATTTTTTTTTGATATAGATATGTAAATAATTAAAATTGTATTCTTATAGCAAATAATATTTAAATATAAATATTTATTAAAATTTTTTGATTAAAAAAATAATTAAAATAATTTTTAATTATAATATTATAATATTATAATTTCTCAATATTTAAAAAATATTGCAATTAAGAGATAAACATAATATAAATTTTTATAATATAATATAAATTTAATTAATGTTTAAAATATTTAATAATTAACAAAATTTATGCTATATATATTAATATCTATTATCTTATCCACTGTTTAAAAATATTTATCATATTTTAATATTTTTTTTTAATTAATATAATTAAATCTTACTAATTTTTAGTTTTTAAATTTTTTTAAAAATTTTTTATATATGCTATTTAAAAAATTATATGTGCTTTAGATTTGTGGGATAAAAATACATCTGGAAAAATAGATCCAAAGTCCATAAATTTACATCTGGTCCTTAAGGCCTTTAAATCTAAACCTAGTCGCTAACTCCATGAATATCCACCAATTTTGATATCCAGGTATTTAAGGACCAAGTGAAGATTTATGGATTTTGGATTAGGTTGATATTTAGGTATTTTCGTATTGAATTTTTTATTTCATTCTTAATATTATATATTAAAAAATTATTATTTTGAAATTTTCAATTTAAAATTGAAAATTATTTAAAATAAAAGGTAAAAAATAATTATATAAATATATAATGAACGAACTTAATAAAATTAATTAAAATAATTGAGTAGTTTTAGATGTAGATACTAAATTTCATATCATAAACGCATATATATATATATAAATTACATATGACATCATTACTTTTAAATATAATTTTCAAGATAAATTAAATATAATATTATTTAATTTAATTTAACTTAACTATACATATATTATGGATATAGGATATGCAGCTGCGGTAGGTTTAATATTTTTAAGGGTTTATTATAATGTGTTTTGGAAATATAGATTTTAAATATCTTATGATAGAATAATTTGGAATCATTATGACCTCAAAGTATTTTTATATTTAAACTATGCATCATTTGTAATCGTAGCTTTTAATTCAAGTGATTATATAATAGTATTGATAAATAAAAAATAGAATAAATATCATAGTCCTCAAATATCCGCTAGAGTGTTTATTTAGGTATAAATTACCTTAGTAAACTAGTAACCTACTCCAGAAAGCGTTGACTGGCCACCTATATTAAATTTTTAATTGGACAAAATGTACTAAAATTTCATATTGGCGACAATAATTTTTTTTATAAAATTAAAATATTCGCACTCTCATTCTATAATTTTAGTAATTTATGTGTTAAAACTATTTTTGAATTATATTATGATTTTACCTAATATTACTTATTTTACAGTTTATTTAAATGTTTATTTTACATTTATCATATATACATTTAATATTTAAAATGAACAACAATTTAATAATTTAAAATAATTAAATTAGACAAGAAACATAAATAATTATTAATAAATATAAATTTTTAATTAAATAAAAACAAATCATATTCATATTAAAAAATTACAATATACTTCGTAAATAAAAAAAAAATAACATAACAACTATTAATGTATTTATAAATAAAATAAATACCACATTATTAATGTGAGTTCATAAAGAGAAATCTACACTAATATAAATTAATAGATTTAATTTTCTCAATTTAAAAATTTTAGGATGAATAAAAATATGTTATAAATGCTTTTTATGATATTAAAAGTAAAGTAGATTCCCCAATTTGAGAAATATTATTTAAAATAGTTTTATCATAAAGAAATAAGAGGGTTTAAATGAATAATAATACAATAAATAAAATTGATAATAAATATAAAAAAATTAAATACTTCAAAATTGGTATAGACACTTTTATACAAATCAAGAATTTAGCAATAAAACTAACGAAAAAATAATAAATATAAAAATATGAAACTATTTTTATTTGATAATAAGGTAATAATATAAATATTATAAATCTTAATTAAATAAAAACCTATAGAAAAAATTAAATCATATATCTAAAATATTAAATAAATAATAAAGATATTTTAAACTAGAAATAAAATTAGATAGAAATATAATAAAATAATAAATAAATAATAATTAAAAATAATCAGTTCATAAAAAATATAATATATTTCTGATATTAGAGATATGAAATATAAACACGAATATAATATAAAAAAATTAAAAATAACTAATAAAATAAATGATAAATAGTATATAATCATATTAAAAAAAAATTTAAAAAAAAAATTATATTTTAAATTAAAAAAATACAATATTTATTTAATGTTAATATTACAAAAATAAAAATAAGTAAAATAAAATTAATTTAAACAAAAATAAATAAATAATTAATATTTAAAAAATTTAATATAAAATATATGATAAGCTATTATATTTTGATATATATAAAAATAAAATTAAAAATCATGAATAAAATATTAATATTTAAAATTAAATAAATAGAGTATTAATAGTTATTTATAAATTAAATTAAAAGATATGTAAATTTAATATTAATAAATAATATAAATAAAAAATATATAGATAAAAAAAATAGTATTTTAATTATAATTTCTTACAAAATATAAAAATAATATTTAAAAATATATATAATCATTACAAATTTTAAAATAAAAAAATAAAGAAAATAAATAAATATATATATATATATATATATATATATATATATATATAATAAAATTAAAAATTTATTTATTATAAGTAAACTAAAAGATTAAAAAATAGTTAATTTTAAAATAAATTAAAAAAAATTAAAAATAAAATTTAATTATTTAATTTTAAATAAATATTATAATGTAAATATTTCAATTTAATTTTTTACATGCATGTTTATTAACATAATAAAATAAATATTTATATTATTATTTTTCTGTATAAAAAAAAATATTTATTTTAATTTAAATTGTTTTTTTTTATTTAATTAGGATATTTCACGGATTATATAATATTCAGATTTAATATATTTCTATCTGCTAAACCAATATGGGAATATTTATGGTGATCTAGATAATATTTTATTCTTAATTTTATTATACTCTGATATAAAAAATACTTTTATTATTTAATTTTAACAAATAAATCTGAAATTAAATTATTATTAAAAAGTTTTATTTGTTTAAAAATTGTGTAATTATTTCATATTTTAAATAATTTAATTTATAATTCAACAGAATAGGCTTTCATATTTACTTTCTTTATTTTATTAAAAATGAATACAAAATTTTTTGGGATTTTATTTTTAAGAGAACGGTAAAATATATAAAAAATGGATTTTATATTTTCTATAATTTTTTTTAATATTAAAATTTCTATTTATAATTAATATTTATTTTCATAAAAATATAAATACTTATATAAAATATAAATAATAAATATATATATACAAAAATTAATTCTCTAGAATTATAAATTATTAAATTTTATGATTATACCGTAATTATATATAAGAGAAATAAAACTTTATTATTTTTAACAATAAATATTAATTAAAAAATAAATAATAAATATTAATTAAAGAATTATAATTGTATAAATAATCAGATGTATATCTATATTTATTATTTTTTACAAATAAAATTTTCTTAAAATCTATTTTTTAAATAAAAATATTGATCGATATAATAGACGAACTTATTTTAAACATACCATTAAATATTGTACTTAAAATATATAAATTTAATTTTAAAAAAACAAGTATATCTATTAAATAAAACTAGAATATTTAATTATATATTGTATAATAAATGTAATTATTCAGCCTCTTTTATTTAAATTATAAAAATGTTTCGTATAAATTTTTATTTTTTTTGTTAAAAAAATTTCATTATTAAAAATATTTATAATTAGAATATTATTTAAATATTCTTTTAAAAATAAAAGATGTTTTATTTTTAAAAAATATATATATATAATATAAGTTTTTAAATTAATGACATTAACTATTAAGAAAGGTTTGTTTTTATCTAAAATACACGTAATGAATTATATATATAATATATATAGATGTTTCTATTAATAACATAAACTAATAAGATTGGTGCATTTTTATATAAAACACACATAATAAATTTTATTTAAGAAATATTTTATTATTTTATATACTTTTTTTTGTTAAGAAAAATATAAATTTTAATTTTGAAAAACATTAGATAATAAAAAATGTTTACGTAATTTTAATTTTTACATAAAATTATTTATTTAAAGTATAAAACGAAATTTATTGCAATTAAAAAATATCGGTATAACAAAAGTTAACAATTTAATAAACTTGATTAAAATCTTTTAAAATCCCTATTTAAAAGTTAAGATATAATTTTATTTATATTTCGCATATTTTTAAAAAAATGGCTTATATTATTTATATTTTACAGATATCTTAATTTAATTTTTGTTAATTATTTTTTTATTATTAAAAATTTATATTAAATAATTAGTTTTTTCAAATAAATTTCTTTTCTTAAAAATCTTAATAATAAATTATATTATTTACAACATTTATTGGTATATCATGTATTTCTGGCAAACCATCTTAAATTTCAGTTTTTTTAGTATGAAATTTGGTATATTTATCTATAAAAAAAATTAAATTTAAATAATAAATTAATAAATATTACCTTAAATTGTTGAAAATGAATTATAATCTTTGCATTAAGAAATATTTAAAAATTAATAAAATATTAGTACATAAACAATTGACATTATAAGGACGGCAGGAAATGCTATTGCCCATTATTTATCTGGATAAAAATGCAATCCTAAAGAGTTAAGAAATTAATCAGGTAAACAACTCCAACAAACATATAAAACATAAAAACAAATAGAACTTACCCATCCAACAAATCCATATATTTCTACAGATTTCATATTCGAATTAAATAATATATTATTAAAAAAAAAATATTAAATAAAAATTGAAAATATATATATATAAATAAATATATATATATATATATATATATATTATTTTATTCTGTAAAATTATTTTTTTATAAATATTTTCCATTAATAATTATATAAAAATATTATATTATCATATATATTTTTAATTTTAAAAACTGTATGTAATTAAAGATTATGAAATATTTAAAAAAATATATAAATATTATTTTTAAAAAACTAATTAATTTTATTAAAAAAAAAATGTATTAAATTTATATCTAATTTTATTTATATTTTTGTATGTTTTGTTTTAAATATAATATTTAGTTTATTTTTAATAGTTTTTGATTATATTATTAGACTTTTTTTTTAAATGTATTTTTAAAATAAATTATTTTTTTCATTCTCATCTTTTATTAAAACGATATAAACTTCTTTAATTAGCCCCTTTCTTTAATATTTTTATATTTTAAATAATTTTTAGAATAAAAGAATATAAATTTAATTACACTTTCTTTATCAGTTTCAAAGTTATTTTCTTTTTTATAAGGAATTTATCTTTTATACTCTTAATTAAATTTCTTTTTTTATTTTATTCTTATTGCTCATTATTGCTTTCTATATTACTATTATTTGTTTAATTTTCATCATTTATTGAATTTTACTTTTATTAATTTTATTAAATGTTTAATATTTGATATTTCTCATCTTTAAATTTGTGGTATTATTTATATTTTTTACTCAAATTTTTGCATTTTCTTTCTCTTTCTGTATGTGATCTTTCATTATCTCCGTCATAATTTTAAATGTTTGTAGGTTTGTTAATTATTTCTTCTATTGAGCCAACTTTCTCTTGACTCTCTTCTTAATAATCATCGTCATTTGCAGGGCTTCCACTTATTTGTTCATCTAGAATTTTAATATCTATTTATTCCAAATAATTTCTTAAATAAAGTTAGTTTATTTGGTTTTTAATAAAATCTCTTTAATCTTTATATGTTTTAAATGTATAATTATTTTCTTTTTATTGTTAAGTATATATAACATTACTTATAATTAAAAAATAGATATTTATAATAAATAATTCATATATTTTTTATTTAATACTTATAAAATTAGGATAAGTGATTATTTTTTATCACATTTTCATATGCTAATTTTGAAAAAAGCAAAATATTTGCAAATTATTCGCATTATATATTTTAAGAGTTGCTTTTGAGATAATGTTCCTTCATTTTTGCAAAGAATTCGATTTCTTATTCAATTTATTATTTTTATTTTAATTTTTGGATTTATTCGGGCTTTAACTATTATTGTTTGATTGTTAAATCATTTATTTCATTAAACTTCTTTCGCAAGTTTCTTTCCTTTTTGTATATGTAGCTTAAAAAGGAGTCCATTTTTTTTTTTATTTAATGTTTAAAAATTTTTATTCAGATATTTAGATTATTTATTTAATTTATAATATAAAATAAGAAAATTGATTAGAAAGATTATATATATTGTATTTATTTTTTTATTTATTTTATTTTTTAAATGGATTTATTATTATATATATACTATATTTATAAATTTTCAAGTATAATATTTTATTCTTTTTCATGAATTTAAGATTTTTTATAAATTTTTTGTTATATATGGATTCTAATTATTAAAAGGAACAGGATTTGTTAAAGGATTATGTCCAAAGACGAGATTGTTTTGTTTTTAATTTATTTAATTTTTATTATTTTACATTCCATAATTAATTTAATTTTCAAACTTTTATTATGTTTCTCCTATTTTTTTTAAACTTTATTAACCTATATTGCTAAATTTGCTAATTGGAGAATGATTGTTTGCTTAAAGGCTATTATTGATTGGACTATTTTCTGTACTATCTGTATATTTTCCCGAAATTGTATGAATAACTTTATCTTAATATTAAGAAATAATTTTTTAGCGTGGAGGAAGCTATCCTACTTAAGGAGACCAACCAGGCAACATTGTGTACAATTTATTATCTCCTATTTTATAAGCCTTTTTATTTAAAATTCATATTTTTTATTTTATTTTATTAATTACTTATAAATCTAATTTATTTAAACCTTTTTCATTTTTAGTCATTCTTAAATAATTTTGTATAGTTTCCTATTTTTCTTTAGTTTATAAATCCAAAAATTATTTGTATTTATTCTTTTCTTCTAAAAGTTACTATTTTTTACTAGTTTAGAATTATTACTAATTTTTTAACTTTTAATAAAATAGTTTAAAATTATAAATATATATCTTATTTTTAGATGTTTACATCTTACAATCTTTCTTTTATATTATTTTGTTTATCTTATATTTCTATATACTATAATTATTATTTTTATTTTATTTAATTTAAGTTTGTTTATTATGTATTTATTAAATCCTTTTAGTAATATAAATTTCAATTTTTTTTTTTTTATTTAATTTTTTACAATTCTTTACTATTGTAATTTTGTGACTTCTTTTTCTAAGTTTTTTCTTTCTACTTCTGTAATATTTTAATTTATTTGATATTCTAATATTTATATTTTTTTATTCAATGGTTTTATTACATTATCTTAGTAATTATCTTATAATTTTTATTGATTTTAAGAAGTTTACTTATAGAACTTTTTATTTATTTAATAAAAATATTTATTTGTTTCAATATAATACATTTTTATAATTTTCTTCTTTATTTGTTTCTCTTTCTGTGTTAATTCTCATTAAATCGTTAGACTCAATTTAATTTTAAAAATATTATTTCTTTTCAAACATTTTTTTGTCATAACTTCTTTAAAGTTCTTATTAAGCTAATTGATTTAGATATTCCTTTTATGTTTTATTATAAATATTATAAAAATTAAAAATACCTTTTATTATCTATTATAAACTTTTTCTTCTTCTATTTTTTGTTAATTATAATCTAAAAGCTATTTGTTTAAAAAAAAAATTAAGATAGTATATTTTTTTAAAAAAATATACTTTGTTTTCCCAATCTTATATTTAACTCTTTTAATTATTTTGCCTTTCATACTATTCTTATTTTTGTTTTTGATATTATTCAGCCATATTTTATTACATCAATTTTTTATATAGTTTATTTTTATTTTATTCCTTATTTTTCATAAAAATATTTAAATTAGGAATAATAAAAAAATATATAAATTATACTTCTTAATAAATAGCAAATTTCTATTAAGATTCTTCATATTCTCTTATTTTTTAATTTAGTTCAAATTGTTTTTATTCAAGTTGGCATTATTTTTTTTTTCAATTTCATTTCTATAAATAAAATATTTTTATATATATTTATCTAAAAAAAAGAAAATACAGTAATTCTTTCTGTTTGAGACGATTTATTTCCTTTTCATTAATAGATATTTATTAATTTACTTCTTGTAAATGCTTTTCTACTCCTATCCATTCAGCTTTTTAATTATTTTTATTTTTTGGGTATTTCCTTCTCATAGTAGAACTGTTGAATGTATTTCCAAATTATTCATTTGGAATTTCTTAATAGATATTTTAACTATTATTAAGTTATTATTAATCATATTAAATATTATCGCAATTATCATACTATTATAATTCTGAAGGTGAATCTTAGTTCGAATTGTAATTCATATTAAATAAATTTTAACAAATATTTTATTTAATCAATAATTAAAAATTAAAAAACCCACAAATTAATTAATTATATAAATATTTTTTTATAAATAAAAAATATTAAATTCCATAAAAAATATAATAGTATTTAATAACATAATTTATAAATATAATAAATGAAATTAAAAAAATAATATGGATTTAATTCAAAAATATTTAATATATTAAAAATTTATTTCTCTATATTAATTGTTTCATTGAAATAAAAAAAATATAAGCAAATAATATTTTTACAATTTAAATTCAACAATAAATTTTTAATTATTTTATATATTATATTTTTTCCTTTTTAAAATGAAATAGTAATGCTAACTAATATTTTTTTTATTATTTTAATAAAATTGATTTTTTTTTGTTTTTTTTAATTTAAGATAAAAATAAGAAAAATTATATATTTAAAAAACTACGTGTAAATTAATTATTATAATCACAATAAATAACACTCAAAAAAAAATATATATATATATATACTTAAAAAAATTTAAAAAAATGAGCAATAGCACTTTTAACTAAAGTAATATAGTAAAGTAAATTATATTTTTAAAATAAAAAAAGATGAAGAGTAAAATTAATAAAACGATTTCCCTTCACTGGATAATTATATATATAATAATAACAAATAAAACAATCGTACTAAAAATAAAATAAAAAAAAATAATGTAAATAATAATGTTAATAAAAATATTAGCAATATTAATAATAATAATATCATTAATAATAATAATATTAACAATAATAAAAATAATATTAATGAAAATAATATATTTATTAAATAAATAAACAATAATAAAAAATAAATTTAATAAGAAGATTTTCCTTAATTAGCCAGCTACGACCCAATAAAATTGATAAATAGTTTTGCATAAAATCAATTTAATACTTAACCAAATGAAAAAATAAATATAATAGATTCAAGTTAATTAGAAAAATAATAAAACTAATAGCCTATTAAAAAAGAAATAACTAATATTGAAGCCTTTTTTGATTAATTTTAAAAAAATAGCATTCCAAAAATAAATTAGCAAAATGAATCTGAATAAAGTCAAATTTTAATCCGTTGTAAATAAGGGATTTATATATAAAATTATAAAGAAAATGATAATTTATAAAATTAATTTTTGTTTACAACTTGGAATGATAAACATTTTTTAATATAGGATGGATTTTATTTAATTGTAAAAATATATAAAATTTTATTATTTTTTTTTTTTTAAAAAAAATATATTTCTAAATCAAGGCTTAAAATACTAATAATATTGGAATTTTTTCTATTAAAAAAAAATATTACTTCATTAATTATAAAAAAATGAAATCTAAAATGTATTTTTATCTAAATAAAACAAATTTATTGTAATTATAGACAAAAACTAGCAAGACTAAATTGAATGTTCAGTTATAGACGCTTTTAATTTTTAATTAGTAATTTTTTTTATATATTTTTTCTTTTTTAATGATGAAACTATTTTTCTAGTACAAGTAATTTGAATTTAATTTTTATTAAAAATCTAGAAATAATCTAATATAATTTGATAAAAATGATTAGTTTTTGTTTGTAAGGATGCAAAAATAACTAATTGTTTATGAGACTAATTAATTTCAAGTAGTTTAAAAAATAAATGCAGAAAAATATACACATTAATATGTTTCTCCTAATGATTAAAATTTATAATTGCTTTTTTTTACACCAGAAGTAATAATACAAATATTATTTTTATTTTTAAAAATAAAAACAAAAAGTTGACGAAAGGATATGAAATGATTCCTGCTTAAATAAAATTATTCTATTTAAATGATCATTCTAAATAAATATTAGACGAAAAATTAAGTAAAAGTTAAGAAATAGTTCCAAAATGGTAACCAAATGGAGAAAAGCTACTTATGTGGTGCTAAACTATACATGATGAACAGGAAATACTTACTATGGGCAACATATTCTTTATTAAGTTAAAGATAATAAATTAGAAATAATAAAGTTTTACAAAGGAGTTATACATGATGTATAATGGTCACCTAATGGAGAATATTTTGTCGTTATAGGAGGAGGAATGCCTTCTCATTCTGTTCTATTTAATAAAGTTATAATATATAAAATATAAAAATAATATTTATATATTTATTAAAAGCTTTGCTAACCTATTTATGAATTTGGGAGACATCATGTAAATAAAGTGATTTGGAATCCTTATTCACATATGATTATTTTAGGAGGTTTTGGTAACCTTAGTGGAGATTTCGAAGTTTGGAATGTCTAAGATAAATAGTAAGTAGGTAAATTTAATGCTAATTGCACAGTTGCGTGTTAATGGAGTATGAATGGAGCTTTTATTTTATGTAATGTTCTTTTCCCAAAGCTTAGAATGGGAAACAATTTTAGAGTTTTTAATTATAAAGGAGAACTTCTAAAAAGTAGCGATTTTTCGCATACTGATTTGTATGATGTTTAATGGGTGCCTTATCCATTTTCTTAATTAGAAGATTTAGAAGAAACAAAAAATTAATAATAATAATGTAAAGTAGTAAATAATTAATAGTAATAGGTAGGAGAATAAAAACAAACTAAAAAAGGAATGCTTACAAAAAGAGGTTTAAATTTATTTAACTTTTTATTAGTTTAAATAATAAAAATAATAAATTATTTATCATTAAAAAATATAGGAAATTTAAGTGCTTTACTTAATAATGATTATAAAATAAATAATCATGGGGGTAAAGTTTTATGTATTGAAGAATAATTTGAAAGAGAGGAAGATAAAGAAGAAGAAGAAAAGCAAAAAAATTCGAAAAATAGTGGTAATGAAAAACAGAAAAATGATTTCTTTATGCTAAGAAATAAATAAAATGTACAAAATGAGAAAAAAATAATAATAATACATAAATTATAAATAATTAATAAAATTATAATAATAATTAAAAAAATAGTAGCAATAATTATAATAATAATAACAAAAATAATAATAATAATAATAATAATAATAATAATAATAATAACAATATAACAATAATAAAAATATTAATAAATTAAAAAAATTGTAATCACCTATACATAATCATAATCAGAAAAATTCACCAGGCTAAAAAGGAATTAAGTAATCTTATGTTTAACACTCACCTGACTTATTAGAGTTTTTTAATTAAACTGATGAAATTAATTTTAACAAAGAATAGAAAAGTAGTGATATATATATAATAAATAAAAAATAACAATAATGATAATAATAATTAAAATATTTATTTAATTTTTAATCACTCTCTTAGTTATTTTAATTAAGTATATTTATTTAAATATTTAATATCTTTATTTTTTAAATTTTATTTTAATAATATATTTTTTTATAATAGTATTTTATTATTATGAAAACAAAAATATTATTAATATAAAAAATATTATTTTTATTTTTAATTTAAAGAATATTAATTTAATAAATAAAAAAAATAAATAAATAATTTCATATATTAATTATATATATTAGAAAATTAAAATAATTAATATTATTCAAATAATTCTTTATTTAATAATAATTATAATTGTTATAAGCATATAAAATATAAATATAACTAAAATAATATATATATAAATATAAATATATTTATATATATATATAAAAAATTATATTTATATTTATATTTTTATAAATTAATTTATTTATATATATGTTATTATGTAAATAATAATTTTACTTATATAATTTAATAATTTTATATAACCAATTTTTTAATAAATAAAAAGAAGTAATTTTTATATTATACCAATAATACTTAATTTAAATATATTTTTAATATTTCTATAATAAAATAAAAATGGGCTAAACATTTTGCCTAACTAAAAAAATCAATTTAAATAAATTAATGTATTAGTGTTGGGTAATAAATAAGTTGGTAAAGATTTGCTTATTTCAGCCTTAATAACAAAAGGTAAAAGCATAATGGATACAAAATTAAGTAGGCTTATGTAATATGAAGATTACAATATATAATTTATTAGACTTCCAAAAAGTGACCCAGATTATTTTCGAATAACCAGTATTAATTTTCTTAATTATTAGGATATAATAATATTATGTGTAGATCTTTCAAGTTAATGCACTATACATGGTTTTTGTGATGATTACTTTGAAATAATTTTACAATATATAGTTTTAAATCCAGAAAAGAGATTTAAAATAATTTTAGTGGGATGTAAATGTGATAGAGAAATAAGGAATTATAAAGAGGAGAAAAATTTAAAAATTAAATGTTAGGAATTAAATATTTTGTATGTTCCTGTTTCTTCTTATAAAAATTTTTCAATTGATATTTTATTTAAAATGATTTTAGAATATTAGAATACGAATTTAAGCTTTTAGACAGTTTTTTAATAAATAAATATTTTATTATAAACAAATAAATATGTAGATGCTGTAAGTTGTTTAAGGGATGAATTATGATAAACAGAAGAAAGTAAAATAAATAATTAATCATATTTATCCTAAGAATATAAACATTCGGTTTCTTAAGAGATACCTTTTCCTACTCAAGAAGGTATAGAGTAATATTTTACATAATAATAGCAAGGAGGATATATAAAAATAATTGCTCACCAAAATATGTATTTAAATAATAGAATATTAATAAAAAAAGGGAAAAATGCGACTGTTTATAGAATTTGTTTTGAAGGAATGTTTTATGCATTAAAAATTTATAAAAATAAAATGGATATTGATTAATTTTAGTTAATTTTTGAAGAAGCAAATAATAGATAGAAATTTATTAGTTTAAAGCATGTAATGCCAATTTTAGGAATATCTTTTTATGTTGATATGTAACGGCAAAATATATTAATAGGATATTGGATGAGTTTGTGTAAATATACATTAAAATATGTAATTTTAAGTTAATAAGTTTTAATTAGTTATTAACAAAAAATTAACTGGATGCTTTAAATTCTTGACTCTTTAGAATTTTTAGAAAATAATAATATATAACATATTAATTTAAAACCGTAAAATATACTAATTGATTTTAATGATAGTTTACTTATCTCAGGCTTTTCTAAAATCTCATTTAACCAAAAAGTTATACGAAGGAATTAAATCTATTTAACCCATAAATATGCACACCCTAAATCTGTTATATATAATAAATTAAGTAAAAAATTTGATATTTATAGCTTTGGGATTATACTTTTGGAACTTTTCACTAATAGAGCGGTATTTGGAAATCCTAATAAAAATTAAATGCATGATTATTGTTCAAAAATTTTAAAGAATCCGGTTAATTTTAATGCTTTGATCTATCATGAATAGAATTATCCTTTAGAAATGTAAAATTTAAATAAGGCTATAAAGTATATAGTAGAAATATGTATCATATAAATTTTAATTAAAAGCTAAAAATAAAATGTAAATATTAGTCTTGTTAAATAAAAGTTCTTGGAATTATGAGAAAATTTTGAAAAATATGTTAAATGACTAAATACCATAATTTAATTTTTTTTTATATAATATATTATATATATATAAATTTTAAATAGATTAATTAATATGTTTAAATGTATTCTTTTTTTTTTTTCATAAATATGTATAAATATAATTTTATTGTATACTAATTTATTATTATTATTTAAAATAATTATTAATATATAAAATTAAATAAAAAAAAAAAAAAGATTTTTTATAAATAAAAGAAAAAAAAAATAAACAACAAAATAAAAGAAAAAATTTAAAAAATGTCTTATTTCAATAATGAAGGAGGAAAAGGAGAATTATATGATTTAGAATACGAATTAAAATCTAATGATTTTTAAGTAAAATTAAATGCTATAAAAAAAGTAATAGCAAATATGACAGTAGGAAAAGATGTTTCAGCATTATTTTAACCAGTCATAAAATGCTTAGAATATCCAGACATTAAATTAAAAAAATTAGTTTATTTATATATTATTAACTATTCCAGAGAAAAGCCTGATGATGCTATTATGGTAATTAATTTATTTAGAAAAGATATGGATAATAAAGCAAATCCTTTATTAAGAGCTTTAGCTGTAAGAACTATTGGATGTTTAAGAGTACATAAATTAAATGAATATTTAGTTGTCCCTTTAAAAAATTCACTTAATGATCAAGAACCATATGTTAGAAAAACTGCTGCTTTATGTGTACCTAAAGTATATGAAGTTTCACCTTAAATTGTTGAATAAGCTGGACTAATTGATATGATGTAATGTTTATTATAAAAAGAATCTAATGGACTAGTTCTTGCTAATCTATTAATTTCTTTATAGGAAATATCATTTTTAAAGTATAATATTATTAGAATTTGTGAATTAATTTTTTTTTATTTTTATTAAATAGAAAATAATAATTAGTTATGATTACTTCAGAAAATTTAATAAAAATTCTATTAGCATTAAATGAATGTGTAGGTAATTTTTGTAATATTTATTTAGTTTAATATATAAAAAAAGAATGGGGATAAATATTAATACTAGATTAATTAGTAGATTTTAAAGCAACAGAAGAAGAAGCAGAAAAGTAATAATAAAAAAAAGAATAAATATAAATATAAATATAATATAAAAATATATATATATATTTATTTATATTTATTATTTATATTTCTTTATATATAAATTATATTTTTTTCTATATTTTTCTTTTTATTATTATATAACAGAATAATAGAAAGAGTATTGCCAAGATTAAACCATATAAATCCTGCTGTTGTATTAAGTGCTATAAAAGTAATTGTAAAATTTTTAGATCAAATTGATAATATTTAAATAGTAAATGGAATTTAAAAAAAATTAACTCCACCTTTAAGTAATATTATAATATTAATAATATTTATTTTTAATATAGTTTCTTTATTAACATGGGATAAACCAGAAGTAAAATACATAATTTTGAAAGTTATAATCCATATTTTATAAAAACGACCATTAATATTAGAAAATTAATTAAAATCATTTTTTTGCTTTTACAATGAGCCCTATTACGTTAAGAATGAAAAATTAAGTATTTTAGTAAAAATATGTAATGAACAAAATTTAGACATTCTTCTAAACGAACTTTAATGTTATGTAACTGAACCGGATACAGAATTTGTGAAAAGATCAATTATTGCAATTGGAAATATCGCTATAAAATTTAATAAGGCTTGTAATAAGGCTTTTTAAATTATTATTGATATAATTAAAAACATTCTTTTAAGCACTAATAAATCAGCAGGAAGTGAATATATTTAGGAAATTTTAATTACTCTTTAAAAAGTTTTTAGAAAACATAGAGTTATTAATAATTAGAATAAAAACGATATGGAATTAATTACTAAAATAATTCCTTAGGCTTTTGATTAGAGCGCAAAGGCAGCAGCAGCTTGGATTTTAGGTGAATATGCTGAATATATTCCTAATTCCTTATAGATTTTGGAAAAAATGACCGGAAACTTTTTATAAGAACAAAGAAAAGTATAACTTGATTTATTAAGTACTGCTGTTAAGATTTTTGTAAAATATCCTAATGAATGTAAAGATCTTATAATTCATGTTTTATAAGTAGCGGCTGAAGAAACTGATAATTCGGATGTAAGAGATAGGTATTAATAATTTTTTTTTTTATTTTATTTTTTATTAAATATTAAAGAGCTTATATGTATTGGAGAATGCTTTCATAAAATCCTTAAAAAACAAAAGATACGGTCTTGTGTAGTAAACCGAAAATTGAAGAAAATAAAATTATAAAAGATGTTGATTTTTTATAAAAAATGATTCATACAATTCCTTGTGTTAGTTCTATTTTATAAAAAGATCCTGAACAATTATTTAAGCATGAAATAATAATTGATAGAAAGTATATTTTTATAATTTATATAAAAAAATATATTTTTTATAAAAAAAAAAAAGAATATATACAAATAAAAAAATATAATAAGTTACAAAAAACAAAAATAATAATAATAATAATAATAATAATAATAATAATAATAATAATAAGTAAGATTAAAATTAAAATATCGATTTACTTGGTGATGTCGATGATATTAATATATAGTAAAATGATAAATAATATTAAAATAATTTAATATATTAATAAGATGATTTACTTGATTTAGATGAATAATAATAATAATAATAATAATAATAGAAAAATAATTTAGAATCTAAAAATATTTTTGATTTATATGATAATGAAGAACATATAGTTTCTTAATCTGATTAATTATAATAGAATAAAAACTAAGAACTTAATAATCATTATGATATGTATTAAAAAGAAGAATATATATTACCTTAATAATAATAAACATAAATTATAGATAATGTTGATAATTAAAATATATAATAAATTACTTAAGCATAACCTTAATTTAATTAAGAGTTTGATATGTTTGGCGATCCTATTATAAAAAATGAAACTTTTTCTTAAATATTTACAGAAATTCCTACAGAAGTAATAATTTTTTTAAAAAAAAATAATTAAATAATCAAACAATTTATATAGGAAGTTTTAAAATTTGATCAAAAAGGAACATCTGGTTAATCCGGTTTAAGAATATTAGCTAATTTTAGCAGAGAAAATGATGATATATATATAAATATGTAAATTTTTAATTAGACTTAACACGTTATAAATAACTTTTTATTATAAATTAAATAAAATTATTTTGGTTTAAAACCTTAAGATTCATTTCCTCTAATTAGTTTATAATCTTAAAGTAATATAGTGGTTAAAGTTCAACTTTAATATAATGTTTAAAAAGATATTAATATACCTTAACCTCCTTTAATGTTTATTTTCGGATTAAAATGCTCTCATGATGTTTTTATGTTTTAAATACCTTGCTTACTTCATATATTTATGGTTTTTTTCTACTTTTTATTGTTTTATAAAATAAAATTTAATAAATAAATAAAAATAAAATTAAGGTTAAAGATGGAGAAATGTAAAAAGACGTTTTTAAAAAATTTTGGTCGTCTAATTAAGAAGGATAAATTGAAATTAAAAATAACTTTAATAAAAAATATCTGAATGAACCTGAAATAAAAAAATATTTTAAAAATAATAATATTTTTTATGTAGCTACGAGGCCTCCTTTAAATAATTAAATGTGTAAGTTTTTTATATTTTTTTTATTATATTTATATGTTCATTTTTTAGAATCTTACTTCTTTTCGTGTAAAATTATTGGTGATCATGAATTTTGTGGAGAAGTTTAACCAATTCAAGACGGAAGTTGTAAAGTTATATGTAAATCTAAAATGTAAAATCTACTTCCTTTAATTTTATAAGTTTTTAACTTTATATTAACAAGATGATTTATTTAATATTAAATAAAAATTAAATATTATATTTAAATATTGCATTTATGTTAAACACTTATAAAGATATTTTTTTTAAAATAAATAAATATTATATATTAATATTTTCTATAATCTTATATTTCTTTTATTTTAGAAATTATGTAAAATAAATTAAAAAAAGAAAACTTATAAAAAAATTTAATATAGTATTTTTAAAGAAGATTTTTAATATTATATTTATATTAATTTTTTGTTTTGTTTTTTAATTAGAAATATAATTATAATTATAATTTAATGGTTTTTTTTTTATTAAAAAAATTTCAATTTTCAATAAATAAAAAATTAAATTAAATAATAATATCATTTATATTTTTATTATAAATACATTCATCTATATTAATTTCTCCTAAATAATATTATAAAATTTATATAATAAAGAATTTATTATAATAATTTATTAGATCTATATCATTTTATAATGAATGTTTTATATTTTACTATAATACTAAACTAATCTGTTTTTAAATATAATTGATGCAAATCATATCTTTGTGTTCCAATAGAAAATCATTTAAAATATTTAAATTTAAGTTTATTAAAATACTCTACAATTATTTTTATTAGGGAGGAATTTGTATATTATATTTTTATTTTAAAATATATATAAATTTTTGCTTTATCATAAGTTTTTAATTTCTATTAATAATTTTTTTTATAATCTAATTATATATATTTATTTTATTAATATTTCTTTTCTTTAATATATTCAAAAGTTCTTCTTAATTTTAAATATCTTATTATTTATAATTAAAATTTTATAATGATTTTTTTAAATTTATTTCTTAAACTAATATTTATTTTTCTTATTTTTCTAATGATAATATTGTTTTATTAATTTTTTCTTTTCCTCTATTATTTTATTTTAGAGGAATATTATTTTCTTATAATTAACATTCAACTTCCCATTTAAAATAATCGTTTTCAATCTAAAATTTGAAACATTTAAAACAAAAAAATTAATTTTTTTTACTTTTTTAACCATATCATTAAAATTTTCTGATATTTTTATTTTGTTTGTCGTATTTTAATTTAATTTTTAAAGAATAAGTTTAACATTTGGTAAATTTTAAATATTTTCATGTTTTTCGAACAAATCAATACACTATTCAATATAATTTAAATCTAAACTTTAATTAAAGCTTTTTTAAATGTTTTATATAGAACATTTTTCAAGAATCAAATATTTATTATTTTCGATATAATAGATATAAAATATTTTTTCTTCACTGTAATGATCATGTAAAAGTTAAATTTATTAACTATTTTATATGTTTTTTACCATTAAAGACTTATTATCCATATCTATTATTAATAAACTCTAACCAATTGATGATAATATATATTTATCGAACGAAAAAAGTCTTGAAAAATTTAAAGTTTAATTATTTTCATCCCTAAATTAATAAGTTTTTAATACATTTCCTGTTTAAACATCTACTTTCCACATATAACCGTTTGGTCGAGCAGCCAATGCATATTCAGCTTTTTATATATAAAATTCTTATTAATATATATATATAAATAAATAATTACATTAATTTTAAGGGAAAAATGTGATTCCAAGAAATGCATTTTTATCTTTTTATCCAAGTTTAATTAATTATCTTTCTAATAAATTAAAAACAAAATATTTTTTTAAAGTAGAAATTGCAATCATGTTTTAATTATCATAATCTATTTAATCAATTTCATCTTCACTTTCAAATATTAATTCAATATTTTTTTATTTATGGATATTTTGTAAATATATTTAAAATTAAGAAATTAATAATAATTTTTAATTATTATAAATCAACTTTGCATTTTTTAAATTCTAAATAAAATTGCATTATTGACTTATTATTTATTAATAATTATCTATTATTTTATTTTAATCCAATATTATATTTAATTATGTTATTTCGGCCTTTTTACCACATATTAATAAAGTTATTTTTTATAAAGTTTCATTTAATATTTATGTTTTGCAGAATGGAAGCTCTATTTTGTGCTCAAAATCTAAAAATAGTAAATCTTTTAATTTTTATTACTTACTTTCAAAATTTTTTCTTTTTATGTAAAATGAACCACTAAATGATACTATAACGAAATAATAATAACCTACTAATATTTGTTAAACTTGAATATTTTAAAAATTGATTATTTGTTTTTCGAAATATAAAATTTCATCTGAGTCTGTTTATTCATATTCTTATATCATTATTTTTAAAAAAAAAAATTGATAAAGTAAAATATCTAAAATAATTAATTACAAAAAAAAATATATATTCAATTATAAACACTTTAATTTTTTGTTTTGTGAATTAAAATAAAAATCATTTCATATTAAGTAAGAATAAAAATACTAATGAAATATATATAAAAAAAAGTTTGTTTTGATTGAAATATAAATAAAATAACAAAAGCTTGTAAACTTTACTATTAAAAAATTTTAAAAACTATTTTATTAATATATTAAAAAAAATATCAAAATATATTAAAATATATTAGAAATATTATATTAATTTTTATTTAATTAGATTTAGTTAAAATAAATGGCTTTTTCTATAATATTTATATTATTTATCATTTTATATATAATATTTACTAATTAACTTGAAAAAACAATAAAAATTAAATCTTAAAAAAAATAGTTATAAGATTAAAACGTAAAAATATACCCAAAGGAAATATACACATATAATTTTAATTAAGAAGAATATAACATTTATTCTATAAGTTTAATTGAATACCATAAAAATGTAATAAATTTAAAAATAATAATAAATAAAAAATAATAAATAGGATTAGGAAAAAAATAGAAAAATAGATGAAAATAATGATTAAATAGAATTAAATATATAAAGATATAAATGGATGTATACCTATTTAACAGGAGATGTAAATAAATTAAAGACTAAAATTAACAACTTAATTTAGTCAAAATACATAAAAAAATGAAAAATTTAACGATTTAATAAATTTTGAGAAATATTAAAAAATGTTTTTAGTGACAAATACATACGAAATATATACAGTATAAAAATATTATATATATAAATATATATAAATATATATATATATAATATAATATATTTTTTTATATATTTATATTTCTATTAATATATTTTTTTAGTTAAGTTATTAAATAAATGAAAATAATGAAATTTTATATATTAAGATTTAACAAAAAATGAAAGATAATTTTTAATAAATCATAAATATTTTTTGGTAATCAAATTTAAATTTTAGTTTAGGAACAATTTTTACTTTCTAAAATTCTAATAATGGATACATTATTTGCAAAGACGGAGCTTTGAAATTTAATGGCGATAAATCAATAGAAGATATTACTGATTTAATTATATAGACAGATTTTTAGCAAAGAAATTAAATTTTTAATGTTTATATTTTTTTTTATTAATCTGATTAATTTATAAATTAAAATCTAATAAAGGTTTATAAATATAATGATTAATAAATATATGTATTCTCTGGTATATAAGGCATCGATATTTATAAGTTAGATAATTATGGCAATTTAGTTTTAAAATAAAATTATAAAAAAGATAGTTAAACATAATTTGCAAAATATGATTTTAATATAGTAGGTGGGGTTGTAGTTTAATAAGGAAACATTTTTTTATTACTTTTATAAGAAAAAAATGTTGGAATTCATGTTTTACATTTATAAAACGAGCAATTAACTTATAAATATTTTATTGAAATTAATTAAATAAAAAATTTTGATGCTTGCAACTTTTATTTAGCAGCTGTAATATCTACATAAACTTATAATTTTGGAATCGAAATATTTTTTGATTAAAATTAATATATTATAAATAGGTAAACTATTGTTTTAAAAAAAATAAATAATTATTTATATATTTAGATATGAAGATAATGAATTAAATTTTTAGTCTGTAAAACTAGATAAATAAAGCAATATTGGAATATGGATTAGTGATGATATATAATAAGTTTTTTATTTAGGAGTTTATAGTTAATATTTATAAGGAAATAAAAATTATATTGGAAATAATTTTGAAATTGTAGGCGATTTTTAAATTAAGTTTATTAATTTAATTAATAATGATACTCATATTTTTGTTTTGGGCAGAAAATATTTCTATTTGTTTTCTTTAAAAAATATTGAAACAAAAGTTTTTTTTAAAAAAATAAATAAAAAAATAAAAATGACTATTTTAAACATATTTATATATTTTATTTTTTTATAGATTATTTGTACTTCTGATTAAATTGTAAATTAAAAGTATAAGGTTATTGCAAGAAGTAAATATTGTGATAAAAAAGAAAACCAAGAAGTCTCTAATGATTTAAATAAATTTTTAAATATGTGCGAGATTAGTATGAATTTATAATTCTAAACAAAAGAAAGTTTTATTGACTCTAATAATATTAATGTTATTGTTACGGTTTTAATTTGTATATTTTTTATTTTTTTATTAATTTCAGGATTTTGCTTTAATTTGTATATTAAAAAAAGTAGATTGGTTTTAAAACTTAAAAAAGATAAAAAATATTATACTATATATAAATAATAAAAATGATTTTATATAAATTTTTTTTATTTTTGTTTTATTTTAGTATTTAATGTAATAAATTAAATAATAAAGTTATTTAAAAAATTTAAAGATAATGCTTTTAAAATTATTTAAAGAGAATTTATATTATTAAAAAATTATAAAATATAGTTATTATTTAAATATTTAATAGCAAATTTATTTTAAAAATAAGAAATATATATATATATATATATATATATATATTTATAAAATGCTATAAAATTATTAAAAATATTTGAAGACATTTATAAATTTAAATTATTTTATAATTAAATTTTTAATCTATATAAAAATATATATATTTAATTTTATTATTATCTTTTTTTGTAAAATATTTTAAATATAAAATGTAAGAAGTTTAAGGATAAGCGCCTGCGATACATTAAAAAAATTAAATAATAGAAAAATATGTGGAAGTAAAATTTGTAGAAAGCATAAATGATTCCTCATTAAATGAAGTATAACTACATAGGTTACATCCTTATGTAAAATATGTAGCTTGTAAGCTTTTGCCTGTATATTTAATTTAAAATATAAATAAGAGATTAAATTTTAACCATCCAAACTTGTTCTATTATATAAAAAAAGCAAATACTAATATTAATATAACTAAATAATAATTTTAGAAAGTTTTTTTTGAATACAATTTCCCATCTTTAGATTCAGTAAAAAAAAAAAAAAAAAATATATATATATAAATATATATTTATATATATATAAAAAAAAATGAATAAAAAGTTTCTTTAAAAAAGAATTTAAAATGATTATTCATTTCCTGAAATAGAATTATGGGCATTAATAAAAGAAATAAGTTCTGGAATAAAATTTTTAATGGAAAACAATGTACATCATGGCGATTTAACCAAATACAATATTTATTTTGACGATGAATATTTATTATATAGAATATATGATAATTAATTAATAAATAGTGACAAATATTACATGTATATCCAAAAAAATCAAAACTTTGTATTTGATAATGGTATTTTGCCGCCTGAATGTATAGAAATGTCTACTTATTAAAATAAATATAAGCTTGATGTTTGGAATTTCGGTATAACATTATTAGAGTGTGCAAATTTAGTTAATGTATAAGCATAATGCTATTAATATGGGAAATTAAAAATAGAAAATTTGAATAATCTTATAAATTAATTAAATAATAAATATAGTACAAATATTTGCAATTTAATTAGAGCAATGTTAGAAATTGACCCCAAGAATAGATTGGATTGGGGACAAATATAATTTGTTGTAAAAAATGAACCTCTTTGTTAATAATTTCCTCCTTATTAAACAGAGCCTACTTAATTACATCCTAGTACTGATTTAACTAATTTACATGAAATTATAGTTGGAACTAATTAAGATTAATAATTTATGGAATTGAATGGAAAAAATAGAAACGGATAATTTAAAAACTAAAAATAAGTTAAAGATAATGCGGAATAATTTATAGATAGAAATAATTTTTAGAAAGGGATTGAGAATTTTTAAGGATTCAAAGAAAAAAATGTTTATGAGAATGGAAAAAATTCCTCTGATATAAAAAAAAATGGAACTGATAATTAAAAAGTATCCTCTGGAAATTCGGCTGTTAACCAAAGATTAATTATTTTAAATCAAAAAATTTAAGAAACACTTATGTAATCATAATAAAAAACTAAAAAACTTGCTTTAAAATAGATTTAATGAATTAATTTGGAATATAAATTATTATAAATATATTAGAAAAAAAATTATTATTATATAATATTTTTTTATAAATTTATTTATTTTTTGAAAAAAAAAAAAAAAAATATTTTTTTAAATTATTTAAAAAAAAAAAAAATATTATAAAAATAATCATTTTTTATAACAAAAAAATAACTTTATAGTATATTTTTTGAATTATTTTTAAAATTAATTTAAAATTAACAATTAATTAATATTAACACATTATATATCAATAAAAATTTACTTTTTTTTATAAAAAAATAATCAAATATTCAATAAAACTATTATCTTAAGCTTTCCGAAAATTTATAAAAGTAAATTTAAATGTTTTTATATATAAAATAATCGAATTTTTGCTATATAACTATTAATAAGTAATTAAAAAATTAAATTACAACAAAAATAGATTAAAATAAGTTAAATATTATAAAAATGGGAATTTGTACAAGCAAAGGTAAAACAAAGAAAGTAGAAAAAACTACTAACGTTATCCAAACAGCTCATGAAAAGCTATTATTCAATAAATAAAATTTAAATAGATTATATTTTAATGTTAAAATATCAAATATAAAAGCTAAGAATTTGCCAGTTGTAATAATCTCTTTTATGTTGCTATTTTTATTTTTATATTAAATAAAGAAATCTTCATATTTAATTATGATGTTTGGTATATAACAATAATTTAAGACAAAGCTTATTACGGATAATAATAATCCACATGTATATTCATATTATAAAAAATTAAGACATTATTTTTTATAATATTTATAGTGGAAAATATCTGAAGAATTTGTATATAACTGCGAAGCTGAAGACTTGAAAAATAGCCATTTTAAATTAGTGATTTAAAAATTAATTTATTTTTATATATATCATATTTATTTTTGATTTACATTATTTGAAACAAAATACATATATATATAATAAAAGATAATTTATGATGATTAAAATCAAATAATTTCTTAAGTATAAGTACTTTTATATGATATTTGTACAGGACCTGTTCATAATGATTTTTTTTTAGAAACTAAAGAAGTAATTATATATAAAATATAAATTTTGTAATATTATAATCGAATAAAATTCTATTATATACAATAAATTAATAAAAATAATAAAATATATAATCATTTATTTTTTCTAAACTTTTTAAAACGAATTAAAGAAAAAAGAAAATGGAAGAGTTACATTTGATATAAAAATGGCATAAATGTTAAAAATAAACATTTCTTGTAAATCCATACATTGCATACTAGATGAAAACTTAGAAGAAAAAGCATATAATTTTTCTATAAAAATAAAAGTTAAATATTTTTTTGTTGTTTAAAAAAAAAAAAAAAAAAAAAGACTTATAATCAAGATTTTGAAAGCGAACATTCATAAAATTATTTAAATCCAAGATATGCATTTTCATTATAATAGAATCATGATATTTTACATAATATAGGTACTTAATATGATGAAACTTGCTAGGAAAATTTCGGATTAAAAAATACTATTGAGTATACTAAAAAAAATACTATTCCGAAATCACTTCCAATAAAAAAGAAAGAAAAGAATAAAATTATACATAATTTTAATCCTGAAAGTAAAAAAATAAAGGAAAATAATTCCATTAAGATTGAAAAAAGTCTCAAACATATTGCTAGTGGAGATTCCTTCTAATTTAAAGACTATAAATTAAATTTAAATGATAAAACCAAAAGTATGATTAGAAAAGATAAAACCGCTGCTAGAAGTGAGACTGAAATTCCATATAATCAAAATAATTTACATAATCATATGCATTCACATACTACTTTTGAGTAACTTTAGGCTCATAAAGATATGAAATGGGAATTTATTGATCTTCAAAATATAGAAACTCCAAGTGTTTCTTTTGAAATTTATGCAGATGAATTCGCTTCTTCGACTTTTTAGTTTATTCTTTGGGCTCATAAAAATCCGGAAATCGAATAAGTTATTCAAGATGCGAATGATTTATAAAAAAGATAATAATAAAGTAATATTTTTTTAATTTAAAAAATATAATAACAAAAAATTAAAAAAAGAAGATTAAATTAATCATATTCCTAATTGTAAGAAATAAAAAAGCTAATAAAATGGGAAGGTAAAAAAATTAATTTATAATTATGTTTTTTGTAAAAATAAATAAAAAAATAAGGAAATTTATGTTGAATATTAATTAATTGGTCGTGAATATATTTCAATGATAAGATTTCTTTCTGAAGATGTAGAAGTGAAAATTGAACGAGATTAATTCATTATTAGTGAAGTTCATATGTAAGAAATGAAACTATGGTATTAAGGTTAATAAGTAGGTACTTGTAATGGAGAATTTATAGTTACTAATTAGCCTTTTTTGAAATAATTAGTAGCAGGTGTAAGAACTGAGGAAGGTATTGTAAAAGCAATATCTTTATATATAAAAAAAGAAAATTTTACATAAAAGACTTGTATTCCTAGAGAAGTTAATTTTTTTTATATTGAATCATGTATATATGTTTTTTATTTTATTTTTTTAAATAGTTTAAAAATATTGTTAATTAAAAATTGGCTTTAGAAGGTTCTGTATTTAAGCTTTATGATATTTCATTAACATTTAGAGATAGATAAAAAATAAATGATGATATAAGGCAAATATTAAGTAAAATAATAGAATATTTACACATACATTCATAAACAGTAAAAAAGATTATTTTTTTAGTTTTTTTTTTTTAAAAAAAAAACAAATAAAAAAGTATTAAAAAAATCTATATAGTAACGAAGATGAATTAATAAGAGCCTAGTTTATATTGATTGATTTGGCAAAACATTTGTTAGAATATGCAGACTAAGTAGATTAATCATTAAGAGAGTTATATTATGAATCTTTAATATTAATAAATAATAGGGAAGAGCTTGATTTAAGTCATATGGGATTCTAATAAAGTCATAAATAAGAATTGGAGAAATATGGAAAATAAATTCATAATTTAAAAGAAATTTTATTAGATTAAGAAAAACTACCACTTTTAAAAAAAATAAGAATTTGCTTAAAATATGAAAATTATTTGATTGAAACTTTAGATTTGGTTTTATAAAAATTAGATTAGAAAGGTATTACTGAAAAAGAAAGGCAATTCGTGGAAAATTTTTGTGCCTTGGCGTTTTTTAGAATTAAGCCTTTCAAAGAAAAGTTCATTGAATGTCTTTAGGCTAGTTTACAAGATTAATAAAATACCTTGATTGATTAATGGATGGTTAATTTGAATAACTTTAGTCATTTGAATACAAAATGTCTTTATATTGGAAACTTTTTCTCTTGGGAAAAAAATTATAATGATTATTTAATGAAGTTTTAAAAATATATTGAATATTAATAGTAGTTATAATAAATACTAACAAAATAAAATTGGTAAAAAAGAATTTCTAAAGTAGGAGTGGCCTATTTTAGTTTCCTTGGAGAATGGTGTAGGTATGTACACAAATAATTCGATGAAAAAGATCTTATACCTTGGGAAATAATACCCGGATGTGAAATTCTTGTTAAAAGTTTCCTTATTAGAATGCAATAGTTGGAAACTAAATAATTTTCGGAAACATTAAAAGATACTATTTTGGCTTTATTACATAATGAAAATCACATAAATATTTATTTAAGAATTCTTTATAATAAAACTAAGTAAATATATATAAGTGTATATATATATGTATATATATATATATATATATTTTACATATATATATTTATATAATTTTTTTAAATAAAAAAAGTATTTATGATGCTTAGAATGTGTTTTTTACATTTGATATTTTAAGTGCTTGTTTTTTGAAATTAAAGGTTTTGGGTAAAAATATTCCTATCAATTTTGATTATGAATTCTTTTTTAGAGGAATCAAACTTATTCTTGAAGGAGAAAACTTTATTTCTTTATCAAAAGTTATTTGGATGCTTTATTATTGCTATAATTTATTCCCTAGTATTTATATAAATAATATTAATGTGAAATTATATATAACAAAAATAAAAATAAGTTTAATAAAAAAGATATTTATGCAAAATAATATTCACTAATATGTTTTTTAAATTATTCATGCATTGGTCAAGAAGTGTAAGATAAGTTTTCCATAATTTTTTATTATACAAAATATATCATTTACATAAATAACATAGATATGTTAATAAACTTGAGTAATATATACATATATATATATATATATATATATATATTATTTAAATATATATTATATTTATAATCTTTATCTTTATTTTATAATAAATAGTTTATTAAAAAAATAACTTATAAGTTTAAACTAAAAGAAATATTTAGAAAATTAGGAAGATAAAACATCATTTACAAACGAATTAATTTATTAAGACTATTAAAGAATGATTGCTATATTGGAAGAGGCTTATAAAAGATACAAGGAAGTGAAAAAAAAGAATGATTTTTTAAAGAAGAATTTAAAGAAATTAAAATTTAAACTTTATTAGAAACGAATATTATAGAAAAAGAAATAAATAAAATAAATAAATAATTAAGAGGAAAGCTCAGAAAATAATAATTTTTATGATGGAAGCAATTAATTATTAGAATCTTTAAATTTAACTATTATTTCAAGGAAGCAATCTGCTAATTCGTTATAAATTTACACAAAGAAAGATTCTTCATTTACAGAAAATTATTAAAAGGAATAAAAGAATGAAATTATTCAATAAAATATGGTGGATCTAGAATGTAATAGTCTATAAATAAGTAGTATTTCAAATATTGATAGTATTTTGAGTGATATTAAGAATAATTTAGAATAAGAATAAAAAGAATAGTAGAAAAAAATGAAGAAGAAAAATAGAATTTAAAGGAGAAATTCTGCTAATTTTATTAGAAATCCCCATATAAGCCAAATAAATGAGAATAATAATATATAAAAAATCGATAATTAGTTAATATAAGGTAATTTAGAAGATACAAGTTAACTTAAAAGAAGTGAAAGCTTCTAAAGTTAAAATGCGTTAAAAAAAAGTCCTGCAAGAAATTTAGAAAAAATAATTTAGGAAGAAATATAAAAGAAATAAAAATAATTATTCGAAAAACATAAATATAATAAAAAAATTACAAAAAATTAAAATGTTAAAGGAATTAAAATTTATAGGTTTTATAATGAATAAGATCAATAAAAAGAAAAATTAAGAATACCAAGAGAATCTTTAAAATATCTATTTGAATCTTGGTAGGATTTTAATGAATTAAGAAAATAATATGTCAGATGGCTTAATGATTGGTAAATTAATTTTAATAAAAATGAAGATCTTACTGAAGATGATATTATATAGAAAATTTATTCACTTAATACTCCTAGTTTGCATGTTACTGTCCCTCATGATGAATCAGATTTTAAAAATGAATTTAGCTTTGGTTGTGGGGATGATTGGTGATGTTTTTTTATTTGAATTATTTTGTATTATTTGTTTTATTATATATTACTTTTTTTTAACAAAAAAACTAAAAATATACAAAATTTTGTTATTATATTTTTTGTTTGAATTCAGTATATTATATTTTTTTTTTTAAAAAAAATATATTATTATTATTGTTTTATATTTAATTATTTTTTATAGAAAAATGGAAGAATAATATCCTTTGGAAATATCTGAATTATTTACAAGTTATGAAGAAGATTTTTAAAATATAATTAAAGATTTGAATTAGAAATATAAATAAATTACTTAAGGATAAATTAATTATAGTAAAAAAGATAAAATAAGCAACATATAAATGTATTTATATAAATATAAAAATAAAGATAATTAATCAGGATTAATAAAAAGATAAATAAATGATGCTTAAAATTGCGTAATTTTTTGTTTTTTTTCTAAAATTGATCAATAAACAAAAAATAAGTTAAAATAAATGGAATTTGAGTTATAATGTTTGCCAGGCATAATTAAAAAAAACTTTACTCCTTTAATAAATAAATATAGAAATAGTTTTGATGAAATATTACAAAAATTTTAAAAAATTCTTTTATTTTAAGAAACTAATAATGTAAATCTAAACATTTATTTTTTTATTAAAATTATAAAAAATAAAAAGTCTTCCATTTAATAAAAAAATTAATAAAAATTAAATATGATAAGAAAGGGAGATTAATTATTAGAACATGGATAAATAATAGAAAATATAGAAAAAATGGCAGAAGAAACAGAAAGTATAGTCTATAATGTATAATCAAGGTTACTTGATGACAGGCAAATAATAAATAGAAATAAAGAATATGTTAATAATTATATTTTAAAAAATTTATATATTTAATTTTAATTTAATTTAATTTTTATTAGGTTAATGATATTTAAGGAGAACTAAAAAAATCAAATATGATACTTAATATTTTAAATAAAAGAATAGTTTTAGATAGGACAATATTATACTTAATTATTATAGTTTTGTTTATCATAAATATATTAGTTTTATATATAAAATTATGAACTTTCTCTCTATATATATATATAGTAATAATTAAAATTAATGTTTGTTTTGTAAATATTCTAATACACTTTGAAATAAATCTATTGTTTTTAAATAAATATTATTTTTATTTAATTGTGAAGTGATTTATTAATTATTTAATTTTTTTATTTTATTTTTATAAATATTTTTTACGGTAAAAAATATACTATATTAGTTTAATTTTTTATATTATAAGTATATTTATATTTTTAAATATAGAAAATTATCTAACTTTATAGAAAAATAAAATAATTACTAAATCTTTATAAATTAGTCAAAAAAAATTATATTTATTGCTAGTATATATGTTTGGCTATATATATTAAAATAATATATTACATATTTTAGTTAGATATCAATAAAGTTGTCTAAATTTGGTAAATCTTTATTTCTAAAACTTTTAATTTTTATTAAAAACTTTTATTATATTTTTTCTTTTCGAGATAAAACAATCATATATATATATATATGAATTTGGCTTTCCATATATCCGTTTTTTAAAAAAAATAATATTTTAAAAAACCGAAAATAGAATAATTAAATTTATATAAAAAAAATATATAATATTTCTTTTTAATAAATATAAAAAAAAATAATCTTTTTACTCAAGTTTTACAATTTAAAAATAAAAAAATGAATTCAGCTCCAAGTGAATAAACTGGATTATAAAATGGATAAAATTAAAATAAATATTAAGCTATTCTTATTAATTACGAATGCAAATATTGCCACACATCTGGTTAGCCAATAAGATATCATTAAGCAGGAACAGGAACATATTTATGCTGTTTAATTTGGTGTTTTATTGCAGTTATTCCAGGATTAATACCTTTTTGCTGTAATAGATGTAAAGATTAAGTCTTAAAATGCGCTTCATGTAGTAATATAATAGAAAAAGAATATTATGAACCTTGTGATTGTACTAGAAAATGAGATATATGAAATATTTTTATAAATTTAAACATATTCTTTGTTTTTTAAATATAAAGAATATTTTCTTCTTTTAAATAAAAATTAAAAAAAGTTATTTAATTTTATATAAAAACGATATATATAAAAAAAAATGCATTAATTATAATTTTTATATATGAAAAAAATTCAATTCCAATTATTTTACAAATGTGCCCTCTTTTTAGTTTTTAGTTTTTATTTTTTGTTTTATTTTATTTAAATAAAAATAAAAATATAATAAATAATTTTTAATAAAATCTTATTAAATTACATGCTCATAAGTCCATTAACGTAATCCTTTAGCTTTTATTTTTTATTCGCTTTTAAAATCTTCAATTTCAATTTATTTTTAAACTTTATTTGCTATACTTGTTTAATTCTAACATTTTCTATTAATTCTACCTTATTAATATTATTTTTTGAGATTTTTTTCATCTATTTGAAATTATATCCTATGATTATCTCTAAAATTAAATCTATCCTAAAAAAATGTAAAGTGAAATATAGAAAATTTATTATAAATAAAAAAATACAATAGAAGTTTAAAACATAGCACTATTTTATTAAGCTTAAAAATTCTAAAATGTATTTTTAAAAGCAGGAGTAGAACTAAATCTTGTATAAGTACCTAAGTCTATTTTATTTTTATATTTATTATATTAAAAAATATATTTTACGTTCAGAAGGATAATAACTTTTCCTTAAAGAATCGACTTTAGGTTATAATTCAGGTAACATTTTTTTAATATCTTCAGTTTATTCTTTAAAAGGGTTTGTTAAAGGAATTACTAATTGTCTTCCCATATTATCATTATTTATCATTCCGTTTTTTAACTTTTAACTAAATTCTCTAAAATCAGCATAGCCTTTTTTTTCTGGATCAAAGTAATTCAATAGTAATGCAATTTCTTAATTGTTTAAAATATTTAGTTCTTTAACTTTTGTAACTAAATCTTTATGAGATACATATCCTTTTTTATTATTATTATTTTTTTTTTAAAAAAAAAAATTATTCTATTTTTATTTTTATTTTAAGAAAAAAAAAAACCATCATTATCAATATCAAATTATTTAAAAATTTCGTAAGATTTTTTACTGCCACAAAAAATTCTGTTTTCGAATTTTTCCAAAACTTAATGAAGCATTTTAGGATAATAAGTGGCAGTAGAATTTCTTATTAGTCCTTGAAATTCTATTTAATTATTATTACTTTCTTATTATTAAACATTTTCTATTTCTTGTATTTATTTTTCTTTTTAAAAATTTTCATCATATTAATATTATAGAGGAGGTGGAGGTCTTCTTAATTTCCATTAAATTTTATTGAACCAATCACCATCTGTTTCCCTATTATTTTATTAAATAAACATATATAAATATATATATATATATATATATATATATATATATATATATATATATATATATATATATATATATTACTCGTATATTGTTTTTGAAATTTCAAATGCGTTTGTATGATCATGTGTATTATATGAAAAAAGCGACAAAAAAGATTATATTTCTTCTTTTTTAACATCCTTTTCGCCTACATTAAGAAATAAGTTTTACATTGCTTTCGTTAACTCCTTTTTTGATATTTATTTATTTTATAAAGAATCAGATTTCATTTAATTCATTAAAAATTTATCAAAATCCTCTTTGTTATTTAAATATCTTTCTATAATTCTAAAAACTTTAATTGATTATTTCCTTATTTATTCTAAATGACAAGAATTAACGTCGTTAGAGTCAAAAATATGAACTTTTTTATCTTCTTCATAATTAAATTAAGTTAATAATTTTTATTTTTCATCTTTTTTTTTTCAGTTAAACTTGGGTCAATCTTATTTTTATTAATTTTTTATATATATAACAAAAAATAAATTTATAGATACGTAAATATCTTCAGGAACAAACTCATATTTTTTCAAATAATCAATAAAATTTTTATAATCAAATTTATATTCATCAATTTTATGTCTATCAAAAATATACTGAATATCCTTTTTTGATAAAATACTTTCAGGAATGGCTAATTTTTTTAATATTTCTTAATATTTTTCAGTACTAACAAAACCTTAATTTAAGCTATCAGCTTAAAGCACATATATTTTTAAAATCGGAAGTTTATTTTTTAAAATAACATTCATTTAATTCACATGTTTATCCAATCTAGTTTTTTAAGCATCCTAATTTAATTTTTCAAGTACATCATCAACCGTCGAAGTAGGATATTCTTCTTCCGAAATTACTGGAAGGGATTTTAAATTTACGTTCAAAGTGTCATTACTATTAAATATGAGGTCCATAAATTCATTTAAATTCAAATCTCCACTTTAATCTTAGTCAGAACTGGCAATAAGTACCCTACATTCGTCATAATTAATTTTTATACCCATCTTTTTTATCATATCATAAGCATTTTTCGTATTAATACTCCCTGTAGAATTATAATCCCAATAATTAAAAATTTTTTAAAAATTAGTTCTATTTGCATACCTTCTTCTTATTGCTCTTCTTATTTCTCGTACTTTTTCTAAATCAACTTTTCCTTCTAATGTTTATTTATTATATTAATCAAAACCTACAAATTATGTTTCAGCTATTGCTGTGGCATTAACTTCATGCTTTTCATCAATTAATTTTTCTTAAAACGCTTTTTTAATTTATAAATATATAGATATATATAAATATGTATATATATATATATATATATATATATATATATTTAATGAATATGTATATAATATATATTTATTTATATATATATTTTTTTTAATTTACTTGCATTTTATAATAATTTTGTTGACCGTTTTTCTAAAGTAGATTGAGGTTAAATATCCTTTCTATACATAGTGTTCGATTCTCCTGTAAATACTCTTTTTCTTAATTCTTTTTCTTCTAAGTTAGAAAAACGCTGATTCGATATATGCATTTTTTATTTTATCTATAAATTGTTTTTTTAGTAGAAACTTGTTTAAGATTGGGATATTGGAGGTGGCTTTTTGTTTAGTTTACTTGCAATTGTTTCGGCTAAATTCTTGCTTTTCGCTGTTGCTAAAAATGTGAGTCTTGGAAGAAATTCAGATCTTTATATGTCTATTGATCTTATATTTTTTTTGATAAAATTCTATTATTTCTTTATGTTAATACTTGAAATCTAAATTTGATTTACCAGTTTCATGTAAACGTTGCTTTCTTAATATCATAAATATTTTAATATTTTTATATATTGATATTTTTTTTTTTGTATTTAATTAATAATTAAAAATCAAAATGAAAGTTATAATTTTTTTTTTTTAAATGATTTTATTATTTATATATATATATAAATAAATTATCAATTAAAATATATAAAAAAAAAATTAGAAAATATTTAAATAAAAAAAATATTTATAAAAAAATAATATATTAAATAAAATAGAAATTTAAATAGACTTAATAAATTATTATTTGTAATTTTGAAAAATAAAATATCAAAAAAAAAATATATATATAATTTATTGAATAAAATATTATAAAAAAAATATTATAATTAGTTTTAATTTTAAATAAAAAATAAAAGAAAAAATAAAAAATAAAAAATTAAATATATTATTATGAATAATTTAGAATAGATAAATAAAATAAAAAAATTAAAAATGAAAAAAAGATATAATTAAAAAAAAAAATATTTATATTAAATAAATGATATAAATTAAATATAAATATAATATAATAAAAAAAAATGATAATTAATAATAATAAAAAAAAAATTGATAAATAAATAATAAAGAAAAATATTATATAAAATTTATTTATTGATTTATTTATTTATTTATTTATTTATTTATTTATTTATTTATTTATTTATTTATTTATTTATATATTTATTTACATACATTTTTTTTAATTTTTATATTATATATATATATTAATATTTTTTATATATTTTAATTTAATTAATCAATAAATCTATTTAATTATTTTTAAAAATTCAATTTATTTTTTTATTTATATTTCTATAATTTTTTTCATCCATACTTAAATTCCTATAACTATTATTTTTCTTAAAAAATAAAATTTAATCAAATAATATAAAATTAATAAAAAAATTATTTAAATACTTCTTCATTAACTTTTTTTCGTAGATTCATAAATTCTTTTAATTTTTCACTAGATTTTTTTTTATTTAGTACATTTATAGGTATTTTGCATTAATCATAACATTTTATAATTTCATTATTTTATTTTTATATTCCTCTCATTTAAATTTTAAATGGTGATACATCTTTATTTATTAAATTATTTTAGACTGAAACATTTGAAATATTATTTATAACAAACGAATTATTTACTTCAAAAGATTTATAATTATAACCGAAAGTAGATTTAGTATTTTAAAGAGTTGAATTAATTGAAGTAGTTAAAGTATTATTCGAATTTATGTTAAAAGACGACAAATTCTGTTTTTAAGCTACACCTTCAGTTTATAAATGTGTATTTTTATTATGAATAAGCTTGTTTATTAATAAACAATTGTTATTACTATTACAATTAGTATAACTATTATTATTATTATTATTATTATTATTATTATTATTATTATTATTTTTATTATTATTATTTTTATTATTATTACTATTTTTATTATTTTAAGTATTTTTATTTATTCCACTATTAGATTTACTTAAGGCTTTTTCTTCAAAAATTAATAATTATTATTAATATTAATTTAAATTTTCCATATTTTTACAATTTTCTTTTTATTATTCTATTTGATAATTTTTTTATAAAAAATCTAGATTTTCTTGATTTTTAGAAATATTTAAATTTTTTTTATAATCTTTTCTTTTTTATTTTATTATTTTTTAAAAAATAAAATAATTTTAAAATAAATACGTTTAATCTTATTTTTTTTCAATTTAACTTTTTTAAATCAATTTGTTTTTTACAATTTTAGCTTATTCTTCAAATTTTTTAACTAAATTATTATTTTAATTTATATTTTCATACATAATAATGCTTTTTTAAAAAGAATCATTGTTTTTTTTCTCTTCTAATCTCGCAGTTTGGCACCTAGACTAGCTTTTTGGAAAATTCTAATTACTTTTTTAATCTATAATGCTATTTTTTTTCAATTTCTAATCTAAAAACTTAAATTTATCCTATAAAGATTCTAATCTTTTTTCAATTTCAGTTTTAATGTTATTAATTCTTAAAATTTCTTTTTCTTTATCATCCAAACTTTTTGCAAAATTTTCTATTTCAATAATTTTTCTTTAATTTCTAATTAAAATTTCATTTCATTTTTTTTTTTTCGATTTCTATTTCTTCTACTTTTTATTCCAAATTTTCTAAATGTATTTTTAGTTGTTATTCAATCTTTTATTATTTAATATAATACATTTATACTTAAACATATAATATATATAAAAAATTAAAAATACTCTTATGTGTAGTCTAATATCACTTTCTAGTTTTTATAATTATTATTCATATACACTACAATTTTAACAATTATTTTCTTCTTCAAAAAAAATTTTAATTTCTTTATTTTTTTCATTAAATAATCAAATATAGTTTTAATAAAGTTTAATATTTATTAAATTTCGTATTTTAATATTGAATCTTTTTTTCTTCTATAGGTATAAATTTTTTTAATTCTTCAATATTTTCCTTTTTATTAAATAATTTATATTTTAAATAAAAAAATTTAATATATATTTTACTTAATTTAATTGCTTTATTAAATATATATATGTATCTATTATATTTATATTAATTTTCATTTAATTTATATCTGAAGCACTGTTAAATACATTAGAGTAATTACTTCTTTATTTTACATGTTAAGTTTTTTAATCTTAATTTAATTACGTTTGTTTTTGTATTAAATTTTTTTATTAATATTCTTGTTTTTTTTATTTTTCTTTTTAAATTATTATTTATTCCTTATAATTTTGATTTTATATGTTTTATTATATAGTTTATTAAAATAAATCTTATTAGCTGTTTTATCGATTCATTTTGTATTTTTTGTTTTTTAGTTTTTTAGTTTGTTTATTGTTTTTTTTGTTAATTTAAATTTTTTTACTAAATTAAATTTAAAATTCATTTAAATTTTTATTTTTTTATTAATAATATTTTTTTGTTTAATTACATAAAACTTGAAATTTGTCAAAAAATGTTTTATATAATATATTAAATTTAAAGTCTTATATAATTGATTTTTTATGAAATAGGACTAAAGTAATATTATGATTAATTATATTGATTATTAAGTTATAATAATAATTTTTTAATAATAAAATGTTTAAATATTTTATTATAAAAGAATAATTATATTTAAAATTTAAATAAATAATAAAATTTTAGATAAAACTTTTTTATAATAATATATATACTTAAATTAACTATAAATAAAAATATATTAAATGTTTTTAAATTATTATTATACTATTATATTTTTTTAAATATAAATGATATTATTATATATATTTTTGTATTGTGTATATATTTTTGAAAAATATTAAAAAAATCACATCACCACATTAATAATAAAAAAAAAATATATATATATATTTAATTTTTAAAAGACATAAATATATTTACCTTAAAAAAAGTAATAATTCAAATTTATTTTTGCAAAATAAAATAAAACACTTACAATATAATTAAATAAATTGTATAAAAATGATAGAAAATTATTTAATTAGATAAATTTTATTTCACCTTACTTATTTTTTTTAAACGCTTTAAACTTATTAAATGCTCTTATTATTTCCTAATTATTAATTATTTTACTGCATATTTATCACTGGTTTTGATTATTAACTTAAATTATTATTTTTAATTTATTTTTAGTAAATTTATTTTTTATTTAAGAAATTTTGTATTTAATAATTTTTTTAATTCTTCATATTATCTTCTAAAGATTACCGTTTTATTTTACAATTAATTTATAATTTAGGTTTTGTTGAATTTTTTTCATTATTATATACAAAACTAATTTTTAATATTTAATATATTTATTTTTTTGTTTAAAATAAAACCTTTTTTTAGAAGTAATTTTTGTAAAAGTAGATAGATTATTAAAATCTTCATTTGTAGGTTCAGTATAAATTTTCAGATGTTTAATAACTTGATTTTTATTTTTATATTTCGAAAAATCTTTATTTCTATTATAATTTAAAACATTAGAACTAATAATTCTATTAATATTTTAATTTTGAAAACATTACAAAAATTAATTATTTTTTTAATGAAAACTATTAAACCTTTATTATTTATTTTATTAAGAAGAACTATTTTTAGAAAAATTTTTAAAATGAGTTTTATTATTAATTTTTTGTATATTTTTTATATTCATAGGGACATTGTTTTTCCTTTTTATTTAATTAGAAAAAAAATACATACATATAAATAATTACCCTTATATTTTTTTCTAATTATTTTAATTCGTTTATTTTTAAAATGCTTCAAAGCTTTTATTTAGGTTTATTTTTTAATTTTATGATTCTTAATTGTGTTTTTTTTATATAATATCTTTATTATTTTATAATAAAGAATAATTTAACTATTGCAAATTATTATTTTCTTTATTTTTAATCTCTTCTTTTTTGTTTTCCCTTATATTTATTTAATCAGTTGAATATTATTATTTATGTACAATATTTTTATCCAAACCTTTATGCTTTAAATACTCTTTTTAATAATTTTTTAAATTTTATTCGTGTAAATTATAAACAAAAATATTTTCTAAAGATAATAATGAAGAACTTTAAGAATCCGATGAAAATTAAGATTTATTTTATTAATTTTTTCTCGGGAATTTATATTATTTATTAGTAGTACTTTTTTAAAACTTCATCTCTCTATCAATCTCACAAAGCTAATTTTTATTTTTTTGTAATACTTAATTTAGTTTTTCAAGTAAATTTTTATTTTGGGATTTTGATTATTCTAATTAATCTTATTTTTAATCATTAATACGATTTTATTGCACAAAATTATTTTAAATAAATTGTTTCTGAATTTTTTGCTTTAATTATTTAATAATATGCCCTTGCATTTTGGTATAAAAAAAGATAAGTTTTTTTTATTATAATTAAAAAAAAAAAAAAATTCTTTTTTTATATATATTTTTTAAATAATATAATAAAATATTCAATAAAAAAAAATAAAAAATATTACTAAATAAATAATTAATATTTTATTGAAAAAA